AACAGATCCTGAATAAAGCCAGAGAGCTCAAAACCCAAAGAGAGCAGAGCTTGGAACCAGCAGAGACTCACTCTCAGACTCCAGGGTCGGGGAGAAAGGAATGAGCTCATTTGGCTCAGTGGGTACAGGCACCTGTTTGCTCACCAGCCTCTGAGTTGTTGAGAGATTTCTCTGGATCCCACCTCAGATCACCAAGGAATATCGACCTCAAGATTAAAACAGCCAGTTATTTTATCATTTATTTGGGAATGGCAAAGGAATTGCAATTTGGGACATGCAAATGATGGCAAAGCCATAAGCAAGACCTAAGATCAAAGGAGAGGAATATTATTTTATAGAGAAAAGGAGGAACTTGGGAGGGGCTGCTTTGAACAAAAGTCCATTGGAGGAAAGCAAGAGTTCAGCATAGTGATGGCTTCTCTTTGGCAGGGCTGTTGCTGGACATGAAGAAAAACCTTCCTTCCTCCCACTGGGGTAGTAGAGTAGGCTTCTTCCTGTTGGGAAATGCAAGATATACTTTGTTGGAGTCTGCAGTTGATGACAAATTGATGGAGTGTGAGAGCTCCCCCTTCTGACCTCCCAATTGTATTCTAAATGAGGTGTCTTGTATTCAGTTTCACAAGTCTGTCACCACCCTCTGTCAATTCTTCCTCCAGAATATATCTGTCTCCTTCCTTGTTCTCTCCCCTTTGAACTGCCATCATCTCAGTCCAGGGTGACATCCTCTCACGTGAGGTACTATGACAGTTCCTTCACCACATTGCAGCCAGCACCATCTTTTACATAAATCAGACTCTTCCTCTTTGTAAAACACTTTATTGGCGTTCCATCACGAATGGAATAAAATCCAAACTCCTTCCTGTGGTTTACAGAGCCCTGGATGATTTTGCTCATGTCTTCCTCACTCACTTTATACCACTCTTCTTCCTTCTTCATTTATGCTACAGTGGACTTTTTCTCTCTCAGGCATTCCAAGCTCATTTCACATTAGGAGCTTTGCACTAGCTCTTTTCCTCTGCCAATAAGTCTGTTCTATTCTTCAACTGGTTGTTAAAGATCTCATCTTAAATATCACTACCAAGAGAGGGTTTTTTCTGTTTATTCACTAAAAAAGTAACCAGCAAGTGACTTGTTTGTCATATATTTCTCTATGTAGAACTTAGCACCATTCATTATTTTACTTGTGCAGTTCTGTTTTCTGCCTTCCACCGTAAGAACATATGATTTGTGATGTGACAGCTACGTGTACACTGCTATACCTGCAGTACCTAATAGATGCTTAATAAGTATTTGCTGAATGCATAAGTTAGAGGATTGCATTATATCCTATGTATTTATATAACTGGGGGAGAGGCCTTACAGAGCATTCAGGAGAGTCACATTTAAAAGGCTTTTTTTTTTTTTTTTAATGTTTACTTATTTTTGAGAGAGAGAGACAGAGACAGTGAGAGAGAGAGAGAGAGAGAGAGAGTGTGAGTAGGGGAGGGGCAGAGAGAGAGGAAGATACAGATTCTAAAGCAGGCTCCAGACTCTGAGCTGTCAGCGCAGAGCCTGACATGGGGCTTGAACTCACAAGCTGTGACATGACGAGCTAAAGCCAAATGCTTAACCGACTGAGCCACCCAGGTGCCCTCAGGAGAGTCACATTTTAAATGCTTATACTAAAATTCTTGTTCATAAAGGGAGTTTGATATATGATATAGTAGAAAACCTCAGTTTAATTAACAGGAAAAATAATGTCTACTTTGTAGGATTGTTGTAAGGTTTAAAAACCACATTTAACAATTATCTGAATGTAGACACTCGGTAAGAATCTCTCTTCTCATTTGGAAACTGCTTAATTTCAAATATGGGCACATTTTGAGAATTAAGCTTATAGAAAGTGTTTTCATTGTAAGAGATAAAAGCAATGTAGACCATTTTTTCTTCTTCTGTCCCCTGTTTACCATCTCTTCAACACTCTCTCCATCTCTTTCTCTCATATTCATCCTCAACCCATAAAAGCTTTTATCTCATGTTACATATTTGAGTAAGGCAGTGTTTCCTTTTTTTTTAATAATAAAAACCATAATTTTAGAGTGATGCTAACTTCTTTAGTCATTTTGCTAAATTGTTCAAAGATTGTTCAATGATATGCTTACATATCTTTATAAGGAGATTTGTGGGACCAGCTTTTTTTTTTTTTAACAGATTTAATGAGTTGTCATATACCATACAATCCACCCATTTAAAGCGTACAATTTAGTGGTTTTTAGCCTATGCAGCTATGCAGCCATCACCACAGTCACTTTAAGAACATTTTCATCATCCTCAAAAGAAACCCTGTACCCATTTTCAGTTACCCCTTCTCCAGCCTTAGGCACCATATCTGCTTTCTGTCTCTGAATATATGCTTATTATAGACATTTCACAGAAATGGAATTCTATAATATGTGGTCTTTTTTGACTGGCTTCTTCCACTCAGTATAATGTTTTAAAGATTCATTCATGTTGTACATCTTTCAGTACTTCATTCTTTTTTATAGCTTAACGGCATTTCCATTTTATGGGCTTACCACATTTTTGTTTCTCCACATATCAGTTGATGAACATTTGAGTTCTTTCCACTTTTTGGCATTTATAAATAATGCTACTATGAACAGTCATGTACAAGTTTTTGTTTGGGTGTGTGATTTCATTTCTGTTGTGTGTAGACCTAATAGTGGAAATGGTAAGTCATATAGTAACTTTGTGTTAAACCTTTTGAGGAATGGCCAGACTGTTTTCTAAACTACCTGTGCCACTTTCACTCCCACCTGCTATGTATGAGTATATTAGGGTTCCAATTTCTCCATATGCTCACTGGCAAAGTTACTCTCTGCAGACCAGCTTTTGTTATTGTTTTGTTTTTAATGGCAGTAACCTGGAAAGCAATGTGGAATATTGTCAAAAATGAGACTACCTAGCATGTATTAGACAGTAGGGTGAGCATTTTCCCTTTTGTCTTCTGCTCTTTGTCACAAGCCTGCAAGGTCAGTGGTACTATGACTGTTTTTCAACACATGAATAAACTGAAAAGAGAGGATATTTTTTTCTAAGCAACAGCTAGTATATTTTGAAGTTAAAATTTGAACTAGATCTGTCTGGCCCCCAAAACCTGTTCCTTTCACACTCTAGATGGCTATGGGGCCTAAGAAGAATAGACCATGTCTGTTTCAGATTGTCACAATTTGGTAAACAGCGAGATATGGGGAGGAGAGAGAAAAGGAACATTTCTACGTGATGACCAAGTTTAGAGACTGAGTAGAAAGTGATGAAACTAAAATTCAGATAAAGACTATTTTTCCTTCTCTTTTCCCTTCTTCCTGCCTGGTTGTCAGGTTGTGAGGGAAGACAGTGAATTCTTTTAGAACCCTTTCAAATTGACATTATTTTAAGTCATCGAGATAGAATTGTTTGGTTGACAGCTGGAAATTTGTGTAATATCATCTTGGAAGTTTAAAAGGGCACCCTGGTGCCAGTTGGGGAATTACATAGTATAATGGAAAGTTGACACACGTGTTATCAGACCTCAGTTTGAATCCCAGGTCTGTAACATTATGGAGTAAGTTGCTTAATCTCTGTAAACTTGATTCACCATCAATAAATTTTGATTGGATTGCTTAAAGATTGAGATAACCTGGGGATAGATCCTGATATAGAGCAGGTATGGAATAAATAAGCGTTGGTTTCTTCTCTAGGAAAATTGTGTAGGATGAAGATAAACGACCAAGAACAGAGTGCTGGGGAAGTCTAGTGTAAAGAAATGGGCAAAAGAGCCAAAACCTATTAAATAGATGGGAGGGGTCACAGAGCTGAAGTATAACTTGGAGGTAGTGATGCAGTGAAATGAAAGGTAAAAGAGATTCAGGAAGAGTTGGTCACCAGTATCAGGTTCCATCGTGTGATCAGGGAAGATGACTTTCAGTGGTCCTTTATATGTGACATTTAGGAGGCCTTTGGAACCTGGAGGAGAGCTGTTTTGGAGGGAACCAGATTTTAAAGGATTGAGCAGTGAACTAAGGAAGCTAGTATGTAAAGAAAGGAAAAGTGATAAAGAGGAGGTAAGAATAAGGATCTTAATCTTGTTTGTTTTGCTGTGCTTTGCTTAAAAAAAAGTGGAATAGACTTGAATGTTCATTCTTTCATCCTACAGTTGTGCTAGATGCTGTGCTATGCCCTGGTGAGGCAGAGACAGGCAAGTTTATAACCTGAGAGAGGAAGAGGAGGGGGTGCAGATACAGAGATAACATGGGATGACCAAGGAAGTAAGGACCTAGAAAGGCAGGAAGTGACCTCTATGCAGGTTCTCCTTGGAGTGGAGGGAAGAATTTCTTTTCTGAAAGAGGAAAGCAGTGTCTAACAGGTGAGTGTGATGGTGGAGTGAGGGAAAAGAGGGTGGTTTCTGAGTGAAGGTCTTTATTTTCTCAGTGAAGAGAGAGGGCAGATTACTGCTAGGTGGCGGAGGCGGCGGGTTGATTAGGGTTATAGTATGGGATTTAGGATTGTAGTAGAAAAGGACAAATAAAAGTTGATTGAAGTTGATTAATCATTGTGACAAAATGCTGATTTCTCTGGGAAATATCTGAAACTCAATTCTTCTGGTTTTAGAATTCTGTGTTCTTCTAGAGTGATACCAGATAATTTTGCTCAATCATTATTTATTCTTAGGCCCTAGAGAATGTCTAGAAGGAGATCATATCCTTCTCTCTTTCCTTTCTGATCAAGTTTCTTGATAAGTTTTCTTTTATCTCTTTATTGTTGTTGTGGATTTTTTTCTGCCTGGTTAGTTTACTTGTTTAACTCTGGATATGAAGTTGGTGTTCAGTGATGTATGCTTGATTTTTAAGTTATTTTAGCCACATATTTGAAATATGACTGTATACATTGTTGCTAAGAAAATTGTTTATGTACAATGAGGAGAAACATTTTTAGTGATGAATCTGGGATTCTTTAAATTCAAATACTTGTATCTGATTTAGCTTTCAGATGATTCTTTTGAGAATTCAAACAAAACACCTAGACAACCTGAAAGAAAAGTGAAGAAGAAAGATGCATTGCCATGGTGGATAACTGAAGATGATTCTGAAGATGGTGGTAAATATTGCTGGGTTTTTTATTTCAAATTTTTTGACGTAAATATTGCTGGGTTTTTTATTTCAAATTTTTTGACCACAAGGGGTCAGTCAAGACTTTTAATTCTGGGATTTTGTTGTACTATATGTATATAAAGAAAATAATACTAGTATTGTGATGTTGTAAAGTTTGAATTTTCATATTACTTCATATTATTATATATTTTGCAGTTGAAAATCTATGATGATTCTGCATTATCAGGTTATACTATTATATTGGGATAATTTATATTCAGTCACACTGAGATGATGAATAACACAGGCGTATTTTTATATTGTCATGTTTAATGGTAAATTGATTTAAGGTGCTTTAATAAAATGTTCTGACAGTGTATTAATGTCATTGCATTGGGAAGATTTTAACAAATGTATAGATTTTGGTATCACAGTCTGTTAAGAACAGTAGCAAAAACGTAATTTATTGCCTTGATGGTAAAGAACTTATTGTTGATCCTGTCTGATGTACATGTATAGCTTTCCCAGAACTAGTCCTAGTCACATCTTTACACATGGAAAACTACTCTCTGGAGCCTGTGCTTTGGTATACCTGCTGTATAAGACACTGCCACATCCATAAGGAATGCCAGAACACTTCTATTAACCTATGTTCAAACTAGTTGTGGATCTTTAAGCACCATTTTATAAACTTACAGAATTTCTGTATCTCTGGAGGAAAATTGTCCCTATAGCTTTTGTCTTTTCCCATGAAATTAAGCCCAGATTCCTTAATGTGACAGCTAAGGCTCTGTATCATCTGACTAGGAACCTCCATTCTAGATTTCTGTTCTCCAGTGACACTTATTCCCTATCTCCTGGAAACCTCACTGACTATGCCTCTGTGCATTAGCTCATGCTTTCTCACCACAAGACTGCCTTTGCTCTCATCTTTCTTGTCCAGTAAAGCTTGACATTACCTCCTTCCAGTCCTTTCCTAACTCTTCTAGATCCCTTTTCAACATAATTATTTTCTCCTTTGTTTTGATTTCAAAACCCCGTCATAGCACTGATAGGGCTACTCCTGAGGTTGGGAGCTTTGTGAGGGCAGGAAATACTTCCTTTTGTTTGTATCCCCTGACCCTCAGCAGTAAATAATAAATCTGTTTAATAAATGAATGTTAGAGTGATTTTGATAGTCATTTCTTTGTTCTTAAGACTGTAAATAAGGAATACCTTACTGAAAAATACAGTGCATATTTTCACAAGTCCCCCAACCATGTAACAATGCTAAAGTTTCCATGCAAATAATTCTTTTTTAGAGTCTTTCCCCCATTGGTGCTTGGAAAGGATATTATATGATGAAGTACTGTTGGAATTGTTTACAAAGATTTGGGACTTAATTAGCATGAAAGTCTCTTTTCTAGAAAGCAATGAATCAGAGATAGAATGTGCATATTCATCCCAAAGGAAAAGAATACATCCTGGACCAACACTGGAATGCAACCTGACAAAGTTATTAATTTTTAAAAAAGAATTTATCAATTGCAAGTGAATGTGATTAGTAAAAATGCAAAGAAGGATACTTATGCAAACTTTGACAATATCCATTTAAACACAGACTAGAGGGTTTCTCTACCCAAGGACATACCTGGTCCCTGGTTCAATCAAAAACATTTATTGAGTTAATAGTATGTTGTGCGTACTAGACACTAGTATATAGATGGGATAAGAAGAGTATAGAAGCCTCATAGCAGGGAGGTAAACACCCTCATGAGGGGAAGAATGGATTCCCATTCTTAGATAGGCATCAATAAACATCAACATTGTGTTACTTCAACCTTACAATTTTCTTCCAGCTGCCATAAGGATAAAATGTTCTGCCTAGGGGATGAAACAGTCTAATCCTTATACAGGTTATACTCTGCATTATGAATAACTGAATGGATCTTGGTTTGGGTTATTAGTTTCTTGTAGTCTCCGTTAGTGTGGTCACATGCCTGAGTCTAGCTTCAGAGCCAGGGTGAGACTGCACAGGTACCAAAGCAGCACTCCAGCCATGGCATGCGCTCTTCCATTGGAAGTGTCTATAGATATGTGTTTTGATTTTCTGCAACTGTTGAAGTTATTATTTGATGTATAAAACCATTATTCACACAAACCGATGACAAATAGATGCTGACTCCTTTCTAAGAGGACACTAGTTAAGAAACTGAAGGCAAAATTTGTGATTTCTTACTAAGACTTTCTTCTAAGCAAAAGTGGTATTCTTCTAATCTTAATATTTATATCACACAACATAATTATTTAACTTTTCCATATTTCACTTTTTTTTTTTAAAAAAATGTATGCTGTTATAATAAAGAAAATTTGATATTGCATAATTTTGTCAGTGTTTTCTAGTGTTTTTGGAATAAAGAACAAAACCCTCTTTTGGGCCATGAGGAGTTCCTGACCCATTGATTCTGCTCTGGGCTTATTTCCACCTGGACTCACGCTCACTCTCTAGATCCAACCTCACTGGCCTTTATGTGTCCTCCAGTGTGGCCTGCCCCTCCTGTTGCTGACCCTTTCTTTGTACCTTCCCTTCTACCTGCTCAGAATGGTCTCCCCTTTCTAGTTCACCTAGTTGTTTCCTACCCTTCCTTCATAGAAGGCAGAACATATTCCTTGCGGTGGCATGGTATACTGTATTAAATAGTTGTGCTTCAAAGTAATTTTTAAAATTTTGTCTCGTTATGTAAACTTTTGAAGTTATTTCGTAAGATGCATTGCAAATAAATAGTATTATAATTTTTCTTTTGAGACTTTTATGTCTGATGGATTTTTATTAAATGGGCCAGATTTATTTTGTAGCTACTACCGTCCACAATATTAGTATAACAGAAAAAAAAAGTTAGTGTAACAGTACTACTGGGTAATACATTGTGATCAGAATAATTTTCTGGATATAAGTAGCCAACTATATCTTAAATCCCACCCATAGGACTGCTTAGAACAAATGTAAGCTATTTGAAAGTGAAGAAGACTTCTCAGCCTATTATGGAAATAGAAGAGGAGTCTCCTGAAAGGATTCAGTTTCTTCAGAGCAGTGGAACCTCTGTCTTAAGTATTGACAGCTTGGAAACAAATGGTAAGAAATGTGAAGGATATGAATTGACAGGTTAATTACCATGATTATAATTAAAATTTTCACAAAAATTAAGTTGTGTCTTTGAGCCCCCTTTACTGAACCATGTAGACATACATAATACCTTCCTAGAAGGTTTAGAATGATATCTCGAGAGAAGCCTTATAATGTTACATACTGATTATGAATATAAATCTATATTTGGTGGGTGAGAGATAAAGTATGTTTTAAATTTTTAAAGTTGTATTAATGTCAATAACTGCATCATTAAAAGCATTAAAATTAAAATTAATTTTATCAAAATTTTGCATGTTAGTAAAAATATATTCGTGCTTTCCATTTAGAGATCATAGTTTCTGAACTCAATCATAGTGTTCTTGGATTGGGATTGGACACATTAGAGGAACAAGAGGAAAAGGAGCAATTTTTTGCCAGGCTCGAGGAAGGCTTAACATCTTCCATTGATTATTCAAGATTAAATAAGGAATTGGATTCCAATGACTCCACACAGTTTAAAACTTTACATAGGTAATGTATACACAATATCAACTATCATTAAATGATTCCTATGTTTTTCTTTACTTTTGGAAGGCTAGTGTATGCATGGACTTAAATGGGTAAACATTGTAAGAGGTACATGTTAAATCTTATTTTATCTCTTACTGCTTTTCTCTGTTCATTATTTTGGTCATGATTTCTCATATATGAACGGAATATGTTAATTTGTGTTTGAGTGCCCACTTTGTATCCAGATATCTGAAATGTCATGGCTGAGGTGCTATTGAGACTAATTGCACACTGCAAAAAGAAGAAAGGAAAGTAACTTTTTTTTTTTTTAAGTTTATTTATTTTGAGAGCAAGAGAGAGAGCACAAGCACAAGCAGGGGAGGAGCAGAGAGAGAGAGAGGGGATCCCAAGCAGGCTCCACAGCATCAGTGTGGAGCCTGATGAGGGACTCAAACCCACCAACTGTGAAATCATGACCTGAGCCAAGATCAAGAGTCAGATGCTTAAACCAACTGAATCACCCAGGTGCCCCACAAAAGTAATTTATTAAGCAATGTTCCACAGATAAGGTAAATAAGAGAGTTCAAGTAGCTGTCATAAACTCAGAGAAAATAGGGACAGAAGGAAAGGAGGAATAGGGAATAAAGACAGGTTTTGTCTCTGTCCTGCCTTTGTGTATGATTGACCCTGATAATTATCAGGAAATTTCATTCATTCTGGAAATCCTGTTAGTTGACTGAGCCGGTCATCTGTAAGTATAGCAGACCTTTGACTTTTTAAAATTATGAATGGAAGTCAGATTACATCTTTAAGATTTTAAGAGCACCAAACTATAATTAAGGCTGAGGCGAATCATGACCTTTGCTTATTGGAGTACCTGGCCTTCTTGCGATGCTTAGTTCTCACAGGCCAGGGGTAAAGCAGTATAGTGACTGTCACGAACTGTGTAGAGTTTGAGATTTTGCCCCTACTTATAAGCTAACAAATCTGTTGGCCAGTTTCATGGATTCTGACAATAGACATAGTTTCCTGGGTCAGAAACAAAGGACTTTTTTTCTCACAACAAACGTCTACACCTCATGTTTATTTGCCTCAGTTCCCCCACGCTCCATAAGGCCTGCAGAGACAATACGAAGGGTCCATAATGGCTCTCTGCATGGATGGTGGGTTGCTTTACAGAAGACGATCCCCGAGATTGGGGAATCTATTGCTTTTATAGTAAGAGGAAACGAGTCTGCTCCTTTTCTGGGAGGACATGCTGCCTCATCTCTCAAGGTTGCCCATAGCAAACACAAGCCTGGGAAATGACCTAGGAATGAGGGGTCTGTGCCTTGCTTTCTAGGTGTACCCCAGGAGAACATGTAGGGATGCTCAGAGTCTGTGGGTATCGCCTCTCCCAACAGTGACAACACAGATTAAACATACACAGGATTGTTGGCCACAAGTTTTTGTCTCTTTGCAGTATTTCTTACCTTTTTCTTATTTCTTAAGAATATTCCTAACTACTGATACTTCTGTTGTAGAATAGTCTAGTTAGTGTGCTAAAATGCATTGAGTACACGGTAGTGTTTGCTATGAATATTATTATTACTATAGTTTTATAGCTTCCTGGATTTGCTGATCTCTCTAAAAACAGGGTTGATGGACTGAAAAAAATACAATGGATTTCTTAGCTTGAAATAAAGCAGTATATGAACTAATAATATACCCAATGTATTTAAAACTTGCTCAAGCTCCTTTGTCATCTTGCTGAGTTTTTATATTTAGGCCTCGTATTTAACCTCCATTTCATGATTAAATTGGTTCTTAACATGTAAATGCTGAACCTGGCATTCTCTCCTGGCCTCTAGGTAGACTTCACTGGTTCTCATAACTTGTGGTCAATTTCTGATCTTTAGTGTAAAAGAATTTCTGAGCCCTGAGACATGTAAAGAAAGGTACACATTTATGTATAAAATCGTGTGTCTTTGTGTATAAAGTTGAAAAATATGGCATTTTTTCACTTTGTATTAATTGATAGCTGTGGTTAGTCTTAGGCGTGAGGATTCTTTATTTTCAGAACATTTTCTTTATAGCTCCCAAATTTTTAGTTTTTGATGGAATAATAGTACTAGAGAAGAAAATATGATGTTGGAAGTTTTTAAAAAATATACATGAAAGATTGCATGGGAACCTATTATTAACATGTAATACTAAATTATGTACTTTTTATTTTTTTGGTAGTCAAGCTAATGTAGAACTGACTGAAGGTAAACATGATGATGAATCGAAACATGAAGAACTGGCAGGTAATTGGTTTTAAAATTTACAACATTTGTAAAGGTAATATAACTTAATAAAGACATTCATAGGAGAAAATAATTAAAAGGAAAATCTAATCTTCAAAACAGCTTTGAATGGGTAGAGTGAACTGCCTAGGTTACAATCTGAGCTACTAAGAAATTGCTGAAAGTGCACTACTGCCTCATTTGTTGGGAGTGGGCAGTGTACCAGTTAGGAAGACAGAAAAAGGACCATGGGGATCTGTGAAGCCAGGACCAGGATCTTTAAAGCATGGCTCCAAAGGTATTTCTTTTTCTGTCCTTTGACTTTTAATGTATTTGTCTTTGTTTTTATATTTAAAATGAGTTTCTCATGGATGGTATATAGCTGGGTTTTACTTTTTAAAACAAAATTTTTTTTTAATGTTTATTTGTTTTTGAGAGAGAGAGGGAGACAGAGCATGAGAGGAGGGGAGAGGAAGAGAGAAAGGGAGAATTTCAAGCAGGCTCCAGGCTCTGAGCTGTCAGCACAGAGCCCGAAGCGGGGGTCTAACTCATGAGCTGTGAGGTCATGACCTGAGCTGAAGTTGGACGCTTAACAGACTGAGCCACCCAGGTGCCCCTGGGTTTTACTTTTTTATCTAATAATCTGACAGTCTCTGACTTCTGAATGAAATGTTTCTACCCTTTATAAAAATGAATTCACGGGGCACCTGGGTGGCTTAGTCGGTTAAGCGTCCGACTTTCGCTTGGGTCATGATCTCACGGTTTGTGGGTTCGAGCCCCGCATCGGGCTCTGTGCTGACTGCCAGTTCAGAGCCTGGAGCCTGTTTCAGTCTGTGACTCCCTCTCTCTCTGACCCTCCCCTGCTCACGCTGTCTCTCTCTCTCTCCTAAAAATAAATAAAACATTAAAAAATAAATAAATAAATAAAAATAAAAATGAATTCACTGGTATAGTTGTTTAGTGTTCTGCCATTTGTTTGTTTTTGTCCTGTAGCCTATTGGATTGAGTACTGATAGCATTCCATTTTATCCCTTCTTTTGGCTTGTTAGTTATACTTCTTTGCTGTATTCTTAGTTTTTCTGTTATTCACAATGTGCAGCTTTATCTTATTAAATAAAGTCTACATTCAGATAACACTATATCACTTTATATGAGTCTTAAAAACAATAAAGCCTCCCACAACCTTTTTCTATTTTTACCATACATTTTCCTTCTATATATTTTGAAACCTTGTGATGCATTATTATTATTATTATTGCTTTTAACAGTCTATTTAAAAAATTTTTGAGGAAGATAAAAAATTTATGTACATGTGAAAACATTTATCCACGTATTTATCATTCCAGCTTTTTTTGGTATTCTTTTGCATAGATTTGAGGATTTTTTAAAATTTCTTACTTGAAATGAATTTTTTAAAATTAATTTTAAATTGAAGTATAATTGATATATTATTTTCAGCCGTATAACATAATGATTTGATACATTGTGAAATGATCACCATAATAAGTCGTTAATATCTGTCACCAGCAAAAAAATTTTTTCTTGAGATAAGAACTTCTAAGATTGCTTGTCTTAGCAACTTTCAAATGTAGTTGACCCTTGCACAACATAGGGGTTAGGGATGCTGACCTCCTGTACAGTCAAAAATCTGTGTGTAACTTTTGGCTTCCTAGAAACTTAACTACTCTTAGCCTCCTGTTAATTGAGATCTTTAGTGATAACAAAAACAGTTGATTAACATATTTTGTATGCTATGTATATTATATACTGTATTTTAAAAAAAAAATTTTTTTTTTAATTTATTTCTGAGATAGAGAAAGAGAGACAGCATGAGCAGGGGAGGGCCAGAGAGAGAGGGAGACACAGATTCTGAAACAATCTCCAGGCTCTGAGCTGGCAGTCAGCACAGAGCCCGACGCGGGGCTCAAACCATGAGATCATGACCTGAGCCGAAGTCAGATGCTTAACCAACTGAGCCACCCAGGTGCCCCTACATACTGTAAAGTCAGCTGGAGGAAAGAAAATGTTATTAAGAAAGTTATAAGGAAGAGAAAATACAGTTACAGTACTATAGCATATTGGAAAAAAATTCTCATGTAAGTGGAGCCATTGTAGTTCAAGCCTATGTTGATCAAGAGTCAGCTGTGGTAAGCTATCTAGTATTTTGAGTTTTTATCTAGTAATTTTCTTCAGCATGAAGAAGAACCTCCTCTGATATTCCTTGTAGTGCATGTCTACTAGGAAAATCTTCTAAAGTTTTGTTTTCTTTTAGCACTTTAGCAATTTCATTTTGTCTTATGGCGTTTTTTCTCCTGAGAAATCAGTGATAATTCCTATTATGATTATTTAATGTATATTGGGTGTGTGTGTGTGTGTGTGTGTGTGTGTGTGTGTGTGTTTTCAAGATTTTCTCTTCAGTCTGGTTTTGTGGCAATTTGATAATGTATCTTGGTGTGCTGTTTTTGTATTTATCCTGTTTGGAGGTAGTTGAGCATCACTGATCTATGGATTTATACTTTCCATCATAACTAAAAAATGTTTTGTCCATGGGGTACCTAGATGGCTCAGTTGGTCAAGCATCTGACTCTTTATTTCAGCTTAAATCATGATCCCAGGGTTGTGGGATCAAGCCTCATGTCCAGCTCTGTGCTGAGCATGGAGCATGTTTGAGAATCTCTCTCTTTGGCTTTTTCTCTGTCTCTCTCTATCTCTTCCTTCCCTCTTTCTCTCTCTAAAGTAAATACAACAAAAAATTTTTAAAAATGTTTTATTCATTAATTCTTCAAATATCATTTCTTTTGCCCCCTGATTTTAATTATAATTATATTAAATGGTTAAATTTCTTCCTGCAGGTCACTAAGACTTTCATTTTTTTAAAGCTTTTCCTCTCTGTGCTTCAGTTTTTATTGCTATGTCTTCAGGTTCACTGATTTTTTTTTCTTCTTTCTTTGCTCTTTTGTTAATTCATTGAATCTTATATTTTTTTCTTTCAATCTAGAAGTTCCTTTTGGGTCTTTATTTTTAAAAAATCTCTTTAGTATCTTTTCTCATGTTCATTTTTTCAAGTTATTAACAGAAAGTGTATGCCGCTGATCCCAGTGTTTGTGCATTTCTCGGTCTCTTTCAATTGATTGCTGCTTTTCCTAGTTAGGGTCACATTTTCCTCCTTGTAAGTCTAATGATTTCTTATTGGGCATTGGATACTGTAGATTTTTACATTGTTGAGTGTCTCTATTTTGTTTTTTTCTTATAAAGCGTATTGAGCTTTGTTCTGGCAGATAACTGATTTTGCTAGCTTGATGCTTTTGAAGCTTTTCTTATGCTTTATTAGAGGAAGTCTCCAGTAGCCTTCTATAGTACACTTTGACCCTAGGAGTAAGGTACAGCCTTTCTGAGGTTTCTACTGAATGACCCTATTAAACAGTGAGGACTTTTTCCAGTTCATCTGGTTAGAGCTCCAGAGTCTCACTACCCTTTGGGAGCTCTGTGAATTTTCCAGCTTATAGCTTTGCTCAAACTATACAAATATGGCTTAATATTTATCAAAGACTCAAGAAGACCCCATGCAGGTCTTTCCAGCTCTGTTTCTACATAGGTACCTTCCTCTGTTACTGCCCTGCAACTTCCGATTGCCCAGCTTTTCTGCTCTTAACTTCTGTCACCTGATCTTCCCCTCTGCTTAACATTCCTGAATGTATGTACCTGCAAGAAACCATAGGGCTCACTTCACTTGTTTTTCTTTTCTTAGGAATCATATTTTTGTGCTGCCACCTGTCCAATGTCTGTAAACAGTTTCATATATTTAGTTCAATGTACTCATTGTTTACAAAGTCCTTGAAATCCAGCGTAGTAGAGGAGAAAGTCCTCTAGGTTGCATCATATTGAAATTAAAATTTGCAGGGAAATTTTCCAACAAAGAATGAAAACTGTCTCCAAAATCTATCATTCAGATCTTTTACATTGACTATTATTTACTTTATCTGAATTTTAAAAACTTCTTTTATTTATGAAAATATTTTCAAAGTTATAAAGTTAGGGAATATAATGATAGAAATAGCACCTTGAATGTATAACATCTTTGTCTCAAAAGGGTTAAAACACTAGAAATGAATATTCTCATTGTTTTCCAAATAATATGGACGAGCCTGCATTATTTTCATCTCTGGGATTTCTCATATAAGAACCACCTCCTCAATGTGGTTTTATTCTTTCATTTTTATATAAACTTAATTTGCCTTAATGTTTCTGAAATCTCTGATATGCTGTTTTCCTTCCATTTATTTCTCATCTGTTGTAATTTCTGTATCTACCAATGACTTTTCCTTCTTACTTCAAACCTAGTTTATTCATGAAAAATTCCTGGAAAAGATATTGGTTATTTATATGTTACAGTATTTGCCTGTAGACTATTCAGTTACAAAATGTAATTTTGAAAAATGCACATTTGCATTTTTCCCAATCCAAACTAATATTTGGCCTTAATAACTTTTGATTAGGTTAAATGCAGCACTAGCTATAACAATACTAAGAAAGATAATTATTACTAAATGTAATAGCTAACTCTTATAAATATGGCATATTATACACCAGCCACTGTTCTAAACACTTTAACTCTTAATCTTCTCAGCAACCCTTTGAGATAAATACTATTATCATTCTCACTTTACAGATGGGGAAAATGAGGCAAAGAGGGTTTGTTACCTGCCAATGATTTTATACTATAAGTAGCAGAACCAGGAATTAAATCCAAGCTTTCTGGCACCTAGGCATGCTCCTTTTTCTTTTTTTAAAGACTTTATTTTTAAGTTATCTCTGTATGTAATGTGGGGCTTGAACTTACAACCCTGAGATTAAAAATTGCATGCCGTACTGACTGGAGCCAGCCAGGTGCCCCTCCTGGTTATGCTCTTATGTGCTGTGGTATACTGTCTAAACTGTTCCTCAAACTGCCTCTTTGTAGTCAAACACTCACTATTTTCCTTCCATTGATTTTAGGTAGTTCTCAAATCCCACATAGTTGTCTAAGTTCATTGTCAAACCCTCCCAATATTTCCTTTCTCCTTGTTCATTATCTGTATTTAAATGAGTCTGATCTCTGAGGCTACTTAAAATTCAGTGATTCTCATGTAGAATATTAGAATTTTAATCATGTTTTATTGGTTCTAGAACCTAGAAGTGTGTCTAATACAAAGTAATTTCTTGATAACTACTTTGTGAATTATGTCTACTAATATTTAGAAAAATAACTTGTGAATTTAATTATGTCTGCTAATATTTAGAAAATCTCAAGCAATGTTCTTTCTTATATAGGAGAGAAGCAGAGGGGAGCTTCTCAGTCTCAGAATAAAGATAATTGATGTAGTTAACCAACCAACCTAAGCTAGTTTATTTACCTAAGGTACTATACCCATTTTGTATTCTTATGAATTAAAACAGAGGTGTTTCTGAAAGTAGATGTCACTGGAAACATCTCTGTTTAACTTCTAAGCCCTCCCAAATTAATTCCCAGACTTCCAGTATTAATTAAACTCAGAGTTTCTTCTCCATTCTAAAGAAAGACAGCCATTCCAGAAGCAAACTCTCTAGGACCTTATACAGTCTTTCATTCATCAGGCCATCTTGTTTGTCAATGTCATCTAATTATAAAATACAGATAAGATCATGTTTATTTCTGGAATGATGGTTTCCACTCTGAGAAGCTCACAGGTATGAGTCATTCCTTTAAGGGCTATAAACAAATTAAAAATTGGTGAAGAGGGGCACGGGGTGGCTTAGTTGGTTAGACATCTAGTTTCAGCTCAGGTCATGATCTCACAGTTTGTGGATTCGAGCCCCATGTCGGGCTCTGTGCTAACAGCTCAGAGTCTAGAGCCGGCTTCGGATTCTGTATCTCCCTTTCTCTGCCCCTCCTCCCTCTCAAAAATAAATAAACATTTAAAAAAAGATGTTTTTAATTGGTGAAGAAATCATGGTCAGATAGTCCCTACTGCACCTTCCCCAGAATTAGTCTTACGGCATCATGTTAACATGGACATACCTTTCCCTTCTGGTGTAATGTAATTGAGATACAATTTGGGATTACAGCTGAGAAGTGTCCAGGATTGGGAAATATTAGGTCATGTAGAGCCAGTATTTACCTGAGGGAAGGGTTAGAGATAGACCTTTCATAAGTACTGTTTCAGGCTTACATTGGAGATACCTACATAGACAAAAAACAAAAACAAACAAAAAACTTAAAAAAAATAAGCAAATTTAACCATTTTGTTTAAGAACATCAAGATTTCACAAAAGGACTGCCTTTTATAAGTAAGCTATTTGAGATTTTATTTTTAAAAAATAAGCATTAAAGTTTGTTTTAAAGATAAAAAAATTTTTTGGACATCTCTAGAAATTTTTAGTCTGTTAATAATTTAAAAGATTGAAATATAAAACTCTTAAAACTATTTGAAAGTACAAGATGACAAAGTAAGCCTAAGTCTTACGAATTGAATTCTGATTAAATCTTTGCAAAATTAAAAAAAAAATGTGTTTTCTAAAGATATCTTTATATAGATATTTCAGTAAATTATTCTTATGCAGACTCCTTCATTTGGAAATCAACAGTCTTTTATTGGCATATGACTTTTTTGACAGTATGATCTTTGTATTCTTTTTAATTATTTACTTCAGAAAATTACAGCGATGATTTTGAAGAAGCTGCAGAGGATATTGATGCACCTTTGATGACTAAAGAAGAGACTAATTCCAAAGAAAATGCCAAATCTGAAAAAACACATGTACCCAAACAGGTGATACATCAATTATATATTTGACAGTTTTGGAATTTCTTTCGTCACCTTAGCTGACTGTCACTATATGGAGAGCTCGAAATACAGAGTTTTTCATTATCTTGATCATTGTTGTAAAGCTATAGGTCTCTTAACTCTCAGACATTTTCTTAATTCAGGACCTCAATTTAATGTAAATCTTAATGAAACATGGCAATTGATTTTCTAAAGGATCTCTTTTGGCAAGTAATTTCCTTAAACTTTAGAAATTGAAATTTTAATTGAAATCTCAAATCTAATTTTAAAATAGGTATATTAAGCTATACTTCCTTTGGTAAATCTTGTCCTTGTGAAGTACAATAAATATCCCTCCGCAGTATTTATGCTAACAGTGACATTACTGACAAGATATGAAACTTACTTGACAAGATCATGAATTAATTCACTATTCCATTCATATTCAGTGTTGCTGTACTTGAGATCTCTTGTTTCTTAGTTCTTACCAAGACTGGCTAAGATTTACTACATACTGCCTGCCATATAGAACTCTTTGAAGCTACCTATGTTAGCTAGTAGGATAATTACTATTTGGTATGTTAGTCTTGATCTGTATAGTCAGGTGTCTTTGTGGACTGCACATTAGGATTAGATGTTTTAAACATGTATGAAACCGTAGACTTATCTAAACAGAAGGAAGAAATACTTTCCAGGTATTAATAGATACTCTCCTTTTAAGTATACCTGGTGCTTTGTCACTGATTGTCTCTGTATCATTCAATTTAGTGGGGAAAATAAGAAGACCTTTAGAAATACGTGAAGATTAATGTGATCTGCTAGCTTTCCTTAGACGCTTACTGGAACTTATATTTGGTAATTTAAATATTTTATGATATAGATCAGTAGAAGACAGTAGTTTGATACATTAAGAAAATATAGGGGCATGTGGGTGGCTCATTCAGGTGAGCATCCAACTCTTGGTTTCAGCTCAGGTCATGATCTCACGGTTGTGTGATCGAGCCCCATGTCAGGCTCCACACTGAGTGTGAAGCAGGCTTGAGATTCCCTCTCTCTCTGTCTGCCACTCTCTTCTGCTCATGCATGCACTCTGTCTCTCTAAAGAAGAAAAGAGAGAGAAAGAAAGAAAGAAAGAAAGAAAAGAAAATATAGGCCTGTGTAAAAATGTGTCAGTGTAGAGGGAAGTAAAGCTCTGTTATTATGGAACAATTCTACATGTTGCCTATCCAAGTGGAGAACATAGGTGACACTAATTATAGAGCTTACTCTAAGGGAACTTATAATTTTGATAAATTCAACCGTCTTGTCATTTGGTGGCTTGCCTCTCTGAAAATTTTTTCTCTCAAAATGTAGCTGAAACAGACTACAAATTATAGTTAATCATTAATTTTGAAAAGAAAAGAAAAATGATGATGTTATAATAGCAAGAATCTTCTATAAACTATCCATGTTATCTTGGAGTTCAAAAAACAATTTATAAGCAAGGTGGATGAGCAGATGACTTCAAGATTCTTTAAACAAGGCTTATAAAGGCCTAAATTAATTGATAATTGCTACGGTTCTGAAGAGACTTCTAGAAGTTCTCTCACAGCTATGTTCTCTAGTCTTGTACAATTATTAGTGAATGGGAGTAATGAAAAAAATCTAGAAAGTACATTTCTTGACTTTTTCATAATGGAGTAAAACACTGGTTTTCAGATTTTGCTACTATTTGCATTGTCATTTTATATAATTTTGATTTCAAATCATATGATTTTCTTTTAATTTAGGAAGAAGAGAAAACTGGCATGCTGGCTAATGGTAAATATTACATATTCACATATTTTAGATGACAAAAATTGGTCTGTTCAGAAATGTATCCAAATGATTCTGAACAAATTACTATCTCTCTTTGTTTTTATATATCTTTAATGAATTAAAGTCCACAGATTTTCTCAGTGGTAAGTCCCTTAAACTTGTTTTGAATCCTTCCTGTTATATGTAAGAATATATTATTTTTCTAAAGACTAGGAGCAGATGTCATTATGGGTAAATTCTACCAAATATTCAAAGACAAATTCATACCATTTCTTCTTAGAATTGTCCAAAAAAAAAAAAAAAAAAATAGAAGAGGGAAATCTCCCAAACTCCTTCTGAGGCCAGTATTACCCTGATACCAAAACCAGACAAAGATTCCTCAAAAAAGAAAACCACAGAAAAGCTATCCCACTTACAATACCATGAAAAAGAATAAAATATTTAGGAATAAATTAATCAAGAAGATGAAAGAGATGTACACGTAAAACTATAAAACATTGATGAAAGAAATTAAAGAACACACACATAAGTGAAAAGATAATCTGTGTTCATTGATTAGAAGAATTAATGTTAAAATGTCTGTAGTACCTAAAGTGATTTACAGATCCAATGCAATCCATATCAAATTCAAATGGCATTTTTCACAGAAATAGGAAAAACAGTCCTAAAATTTACAGGGAACCACAAAAGACCCCAAATAGCCAAAGCAATCTTGAGAAAAAAGAACAAAGCTGGAGGCATCCCACTCCTGATTTCAAATATACTACAAAGCTACAAAAATCAAAATAGTGGCATAAGGAAAACACATAGATCAAATCAAAATAGTATGGTATTGGCATTTTAGAAAGACTCATAGAGCAATGGAGCGTCCAGAAATAAATCCATTCATATATGGCTAATTAGTTATTGATAGGGGCATAAAGAATACACAGTGAGAAAAGAAATATTTCTTCAGTAAATAGTGTTTGGAAGGCTGGAAAGCCACATGCAAAAGATGAAGCTGGACCCTGTCTTACTCCATACACAAAACTGAACTCAGACGGATTAAACACTTGAACATAAGACTTAAAACTATAAAACCCATAGAGGAAAACTTACAGCGTAAGCTCTTTGATACTGGTCTTAGCAAGAATTTTTTAGATTTCATACCAAAAGCAGAACTAAATGAGTGGGATTGTATCAAACTAAAAAACTGCACAACAAGGGAAACCATAAACAGTATGAAAAACCATTCTATGGAATGGGAGAAAGTATTTGCAAATTACATATCCAACGCAGGGTTAATATTCAAAATGTACGAGGAACTTGTACAACTTAATAGCCCAAAAATGGTCAACGGGCATGTAAAAAGATGCTTAACTTCACCAATCATCAGGGAAATGCCATTAAAAACCACAGTGAGGAGCACCTGGAGTGTCTCAGTCAGTTAAGTGTCCGACTCTGGTTCAAGTCATGATCTCAAGGTTCATGAGTTAGAACCCTGCATCAGGCTCTGTGCTGACATCTTAGAGCCTGGAGCCTGCTTGGGATTCTGTCTCCCTCTCTCTCTGTCCTCTCCTGCTCATGCTTTGTCTTTGTCAAAAATAAACAAACATTAAAAAAAAATTAAAAAAAAAACAGATATTACATCATACCTGTCAGGATGACAGTTACCAACATGATTAGAAATAAACGCTGACTAGGATGTGGAGAAAGGGAACTCTTATTTACTGTTGGTGGGAATGTAAACTGGTATAACCGCTATGGGAAACAGTGTGAAGTATAATTGTGACTGTTACATAATTAAAGTTTGCTAACAGAGTAGAACTTAAGTGTTCTCACCAAAAAAAAAAAAAAAAAAGTGATGCATGCATTTATTAACTCAATTGTAAGAGTCCCTTCACAATGTATACATAAATCATCACATTTTCCACATTAAATATATTATAGTTTTATTTGTTAATTAAACCTCAGTAAAGCCAAAGAGGGGGAAAGGATGGTTAATTAACAATAGAAAGTGTAATTTACAGACTCTCAACCAGTGGTTATGTTGATATATGTTTAACAGCTATGTTCTGGAAGAAAATAAAAAAGCCTCTTTTGTATAGCTTGCTTATGTTTATGTTGTAAACACATCATAGGTGATTTTAGACATCAATGTGATGAACCAGTCAGATACAACTAGTATATGAGTTGTTAATTCAGCTGATACAGTTAATATGAATTACCTCAAAGTACGTAATAGAAAAATATAGTAATTAATAAGGGAAGAATAACAAACTATATAGGCCAATGTCCCTGATGAAAAATGATGTAAAAATTTTCAATAAAATACTAGCAAACCGAATTCAGCAGAAGGATCTATCATACACCATGATCAAGTGGGATTTATTCCTGGGACGCAAGAATGATTCAACATGTGCAGATCAGTCAGTATCTTAAAACACATTAACAAAATGAAGGAGAATACCTGATACTTGTTAGCTCTACCCATGTCATTGCAAACGACAAGAGAGTATTATGCTAAGTGAAATAAGTCTGTCAGAGAAAGACAAATACCATATGATTTCACTCCTATGTGGAATTTAAGAAACACATGAGCAAAGAGAGGGAAAAAAGGGGGGAGGGAAGCAAACCAAGAAACAAGCCCTTAACTATAGAGAACAAACTGATGGCTATCAGGGGATGTGGGTTGGTGGATGGTTAAATAGGTGATAGGGATTAAGGAGTGCCCTTGTTATGATGAGTTGTTTGGAAGTGTTGAATCACTATATTGTACACCTGCAACTAATATTATGCTGTATGTTAACTAACTGGAATTTAAATAAAAACTAAAAACAAACAAAAGAATTGCCACAAAATAACCCACTCCTGATCATCTCACACCAAAAAAATCCATTTGACAGAGTTCAGTATCCATTAATGATTAACACTCTTAACAAAATAGAACTTAATGCAATAGAGGCCGTATATGAAAACTCCACAGCTAACGTTTTAATTAAAGATGAAAAACTGAAGGCTTTCTCTTTAAGGTTCTATATAGGGCAAAGATGCCTCCTCTTCACATTTCTGTTCAGTGTTGTACTTGGAAGTTCTAGTCTCAACAGACAAGAAAAAGAAATAAGAGGTATCCACATCAGGAAGGAAGAAGTAAAATTGTCTTTATTTGCAGATAGCATGATCACATACATAGGAGATCCTAAAGGCTTCATAAAAGAAAACTGGCAGAATTAATAAATGAATTCAGTAGTTTTCAGATTAAAAAATCAACATTAAAAAACTAAATGTTGCTTTTATAAACAAGCAACAATCAGAATAAAAAGCTTTGGAATAAATTTAAGGAAAGAAATGAAAGACCTTCACAGTAAAAATTAGAAAACGTGGATGAAGAAGACATAGATAAGTGGAAGGACATCCTGTGCTCATGGATTGGAAGAATTAATACTGTTAAAACGTCCACACTACCTAAAGTGATCTGCAAGTCTACAAGGTGATCCCTATCAAAATCCCAGTAGCATTCCCTATAGAAATAGTAAGAAAGCAATTTTAAAATTCATAGGGAACCACAGAAGACTCCAAATAGCCCAAGGAAGCTTGAGAAAGAACAGTGCTTAGAGGCATCATTCTCCCTGATGACAAAATGTAGTACAAAACCATAGAAATCAGAATAGTATGGTATTGGCAGAAAAACAGACATAGAAATAAAATAGCCTAGAAATAAATATACACCTCTACAGTCAACTGATCTTCAAGAAGAGGGCCAAGAGTATATAATGAAGAAAGGATAGTCTCTTTAATACAGGCATACCTCATTTTATTGGTCTTCGCTTTATTGTGCTTCACAAATACTTTGTAGTAATTTTTTACAAATTAAAGTTTGTGGCAACCCTGCAGGGAGCAAATCAATATATTGGTGCCATATTTCCAACATCATTTACTTCATGTTTCTGTGTCAAATTTTTGTAATTCTTGGATTTTTTCACTTTTTCATTATTATAGTAATCTGTAATTAGTAATCTTTGATGTTACTTTTGTAATTGGTTTGGGCCATGATTTAGGGGAAGAATGTTCTCAACATTTAACAGGAGTTTGGAAGAAGTTGATTCCAACCCTCATGGTTGACTTGGAGGGGTTCACAATTTCAGTGGAGGAAATTAAGTGCGGATGTGGCAGAAACAGAAAGAGAATAAGAATTAGAAGTGGAGCCTGAATGTGTGACTGAATTGCTGCAACCTTATGGTCAAACTTGAAGGAATGAGGAGCTGCTTCTCATGGATGAACAAAGAAAGTAGATTCTTGAGATGGAATCTCGTCTTGCTGAAGATGCTGTGAAGTTTGTTGAAATGACAGCAGAGGATCTAGAATATTATATAAGCCTAGTTGATAAAGTGGCAGCACGGTTTGAGAAGATCAACACCAATTGTGAAAGAAGTTCTATGAGTAAACTGCTGTCAAACAGCATTGTATGCTACAGAGAAGTCATTCGTGAAAGGACTGTTGTCTTACTTTAAGGAAGTGCCACAGCCACCCCCACTTTTAGCAACCACTGCTGATCAGTCAGCAGCCATCAAGACTGAAAAACCCTCCACCAACCAAAAGATTACAACTTGCTAAAAGTTCAGGTCATGGCATTTTTTAGTAACAAACCAAAAAGCTTTAGTTTAATTTTTAAAAAGGTATGTATCAAGACTGAAAGACCCTCCACCAACCAAAAGATTACAACTTGCTAAAAGCTCAGGTGATGGCATTTTTTTAGCAACAAACTAAAAAGTTTTAATTTTTAAAAAGGTATGTAAACTATTTTAGATGTAATGCTATTGCACACTTAATAGACTTACAGTATACCTTTTATATGCACTGAGAAACCAAAAAAAAAAAAAAATCTGACTGGCTTTATTGCAGTATTTGCTTTATTGCAGTTGTCTGTAATTGAACTTGCAGTATCTCTGAGTTCTACCTGTCTATCACATTAAAAAACTAGATAGTTACATGCAGAAGAATGAAATTAGACCCTTATCTCACCCCACAGACAAAAGTCAACTCAAGATGGGTCAAGGCTTAAATATAAAACCTGAAACTTAAATAACTAGAAGACATGGGAAAAAAACCTTTTTGACATTGCACTAGAGAATATTTTTTTTAGATATGACCTGTAAAACATAACCAACAAAAGGAAAAATAGACAAATGGAATTGCATCAAACTAAAATGCTATGTAGCAAAGGAAATAATTGGTGAAAAGGCAACCTATGGAATGGGAGAAGATATTTATAAACCATATTTCTGATAAGGAGTTGATATCCAAAATATATATAAGGAGCTAATGCAACTCAGTAGCAAAAAACCAGATAACCCAGTTAAAAGTGAGCAAAGGACCTGAATAGAAATCTTCAAAAGAAGACAAACTAATGGCCAACAAACACGTGAATAGATGCTTAACTTCACTAATCATCAAGGAAGTGCAAATCAAATTAGATATCCCCTCCTACCTGTCAGATTGGCTGTTTATCAGAAAGACAAAAAAATAACTAGTTCGTGAGGATTTGGAGAGAAGGAAACTCTTGTATGCTATTGATGGAATGTAAATGGGTATGGCTACTATGGAAAACAGTATGGTGGTTCCAGAAAAAATTTAAGAGGGAACTACCTTATGATTTAGTAATCTCACTTCAGGGTATATATTTTGAAGAGCTATCTGTACTCCCATGTTCATTGTACCATCACTTACAGTAGCCAAGATGTGGATACAACCTAAGTGCCATTGACAGGGACTAACAAAATATAGTGTATATGATAATACACTGTGGAGGACATTATGCTAAGTGAAATAAGCTAGATGCATATATACTGCACTGTTCTGTGAAAGAGAGGTATATGCAAATCAAACTTCAAAGGCCAAAAGAGTCCTAAGACCAAAGGAAAAGGCCCACAAGCCCCACTTGACAAGAAATGGTTTATTAAGGAACTTAGAAGCAGAAGCCTGTTTTGTGCAGTACCAGATGAGTAGACCTCTACAACCCCTTCTCCCTTAGGACCTGCTTTTATAGCCCTAGAGGCTGGGAGGGCATGCTGAGGGATGACTCAAGGAGAGGATGTTTAAGAATAGGTGTGGGGGCGCCTGGGTGGCTTAGTCGGTTAAGTGTCCGACTTTCCCTTAGGTCATGATTTCGCGGTTCGTGGGTTCGAGCCCCGCGTCGAACTCTGTGCTGACGGCCAGCTCAGAGCCTAGAACCTGTTTCAGTCTGTGACTCCCTCTCTCTCTGACCCTCCCCTGCTCACGCTGTCTCTCTCTCTCTCCTAGAAATAAATAAAACATTTAAAAAAAAACCCAACATATTGTGTGTGTGTGTGTGTGTGTGTGTGTGTACACACATATACACAATGGAATATTACTTGGTGATGAATCAAAATGAAATTTTGCTGTTTACAACACTGGATGGAATAGAGTGTATTATGCTAAGTGAAGTAAGTTGGTCAGAGGAAGACAAATATATGATTTCCTCATATGTGGAATTTAAGAAACAAAACAATGAACATAAGAAAATGGAAGCAAAAATAAGATAAAAACAGAGAGAGAAACAAAGCTATAAATGAATAAAGAGCCTCTAAAATACAGAAAATAAACTGAAGGTTGCTGGCAGGGTGTTGAGTGGGGGAATGGGCTAACTGGGTGATGGGCATTGAGGAGGGCACTTTTTGGGATGAGTACTGGATGTTATATGTAAGTGATGAATCACTAAATTCTATTCCTGAAATCATTAAAAAATTAATAGAAATAAATAAAAACTACAAAAGCTCACTCAGAAGAAATAAATGAGGCATCTATAGGAATGGATGAGTACGAATCTCCAAAATCCTCTCCTCTGAAACAGCAATAAGAATATTGGCAAATATCAACAATTCGAGGGTCTCTGGGTGGCTCAGTCAGTTAAGCCTTTGACTCTTGATTTTGACTCAGGTGATGATTTCACCATTCGTGAGATCAAGCCCTGCGTCAGGCTTCACACAGACAGCACAGAGCCTACTTGGGGTTGTCTTCTTCTCTCTCTGCCTGCTTCCCCTGCTCATGAGTGCTTTCTGTCCCTCATTTTCAAAATAAATTAATAAACATTAAAAAAAATTGGTGTGGATCTTAGCGGTATCTCCAGGGAAGATCCAAGACACTGTGCCCTGATGGTGTACATAAAGATGTGGTTAAGGAAAAGGAAACAATGCTGGATGGCAGCTGCTGTGCTCAAGAAGGTTTCAGGTCACAGAACAGTTGTTATGGCATGTGTGTCAGGTAAGTCTGTTCACACAAGCATGATCTCATTTATATGTGGAATCTAAAAATGTCACACTTGTAGCTTTGAGAGTAGAATGATGGTTGCCAGGAGATAGGGGAGGAGGATATGGGGAGATGTTAGTTAAGGAGTATAAAGTTTTAGTTATACCAGATAAATAAATTTTGGAGGTCTAACGTACAGCAGTATGTTATACTTAAAGAATACTTGAAATTTGATAAGAGGGGAAATCTGAAGTGTTCTCATCATGTGCACACACAAAAGGTAACTATTAAGGTAATGGATATATTAGCTTGATTGTGGTATTTCATGGTGTATATTATGTCATTAAATATATACACGTACACACATTAAATGTATACAATTTTTTTAAGTTTATTTATTTTGAGAGCGAGCCTGCACAAGTGAGAGGGAGAGAGAATCCCTGTCACATCGGATCCCACCACAGGGCCTGGAAGTCAGGCCATGAGATCATAACCTAAGCTGAAGTCCCAGCTGCTTAACCAACTGAAGCCACCCAGGTGCTCCAAATATATGCAATTTTTAATTGTCAACTATACCTCAATAAAATTGGGGGGAAGGAAGAATACCTTTTTAAAATTTTTTGCAGGCCTTTTGCATTCCATAGAAAAGGTACATTAGATTTGTATGTAAGTATAGTTAATGTGTGTTAATGTGATACTCTTTACATGTAAATATCTTTGTACTTATACAGCTTGCATATGATTAAAATAACAAATTGAAGGAACTGTACAATTCCTCTAATTTTTTTTTTTTATATCGTTCTAGTGGTACTGCTTGATTCCTTAGACTCTGTTGCAGAGGTCAGCCTTGATGAACAGGATAGAGCAACTAAGCCAAAGTCCCTGCCGGAAATGACTGATAATGAAATGACAGGAACAGGTAAAAGCAAAAAACTGACTGTTCTCTAAAAATGTAGGAGTGTATGATGAATTGACTTTATTTCTAGAGAAGTAAGTATAATATATAACAATATATGTAATAACTATATCAACAATAAAATTTTAAATCCCACATTTTTTACCATAATTAATAACTTAAATTATCTGAATTTGATAATGGTGACATGCTATTAGGCCAAGTAAAGTCTGTTTTTAATGAAAACTTTTTAATAAATGAATGAATGCTGTTGATACAAAGTGTAGCACTATAGCTAATATGAAATAATTTTCTGTGCCCTTCCAGAGTATTCTGTTAAATTTGGAACATGTAGGAGAAATTAGATTTTGGTCTTACTTTGCTTTTCCATTTTTCCCTCTGTGCAGGAAAAAGTTAAATCACATTCCAAAATTCTAAAGTACCCTGAACCATGCCTTTTCAAACTGTAAACTGGTGGAATCCTTACTTCCAAATGAAATCTCATGTAGTTGTCTCGTGTAGATAAAAATGGTATTTTATCAGTATAAATATAAATGTTTACATTTATAATATTTACATATAAAATTACTGAGAACAATAATGGTCTTTTGAATTTTTTAAATCAGAAGTTTCAGATATTTGTTAGATTCTTTTTTATAAGTTAATTTATTTTGAGAGAGAGAGAGAGAAAGAGACTGTGAGTGGGGAAGGGGGAGAGAGAGAATCACAAACAGACACAGAGCCTAATGCTGAGCTTAAACTTATGAACAGTGAGATCATGACCTGAGCCTAAATCAAGAGTCAGACATTCAGCTAAGCTGCCCAGGCACCCCAGATATTTGTAATATTTTTTGTTATTGTTATTCTTGTATCATCATCAGGCTTCTGATATGTTTGTATATTTTATTTTTGTTGTATAATATAAAAAAAAAATTCTTGGTTTACTGCATAAATGTTGCAAATGAGAACTTTTTAATCATCTTGCTTTTGCAAGTCTCAGTTGACCAGTATGGTCAATTAAACCAATCCAGATACTTGGAACAAAAGAGCAATAGAAATGATAAATCACTAACCAACTCAAAACATCTGCTTGCATTTTATTTTTATTTTATATTTTATTTCTTCTTACTTTTTTATTAAGTATATTATTAAGTATAATATACCCATAGAATAGTTCATGTATCATAATAGTGCCACCTGATGAATTTTCATAGCCTGAACACACCCATATAACTAGCAACCAGATCAAAAAACAAAGCACAAAGTCCCTCAGGGTCTTATTTCTAGTCCCTGTCATTCCAAAAGTCACCACTATCTTGTTTCATCCACTTCTATTTAAAAATATAAATATGAGAGTAAAAAAATTACAAAAAAATCATGTTACTCATTTGCTGTTATTACCCAGTTGAATATTCACCACAATGAAAGCATGTACTAAGCACATGTTGTTCAGTCTTACTGCTGTTTAAGTAGATGTCATTTATGTGTTATGATGGTCAACCTTATATGCACAGTTTTCAATAAGTCGATATGAATTCTTTTATTTTTTAAATTTTTAAAAAATAGTTATTTTTGAGAGAGACGGGGAAGGGGAGGACCGAGGATCTGAAGCAGGCTTTGTGCTGACAGCAAGAGAGCCCTGTGAAGGGCTCGAATTCATGAACCCTGAAATCATGACCTCAGGCAAAGTCAGACACTTAACCGTCTGAGCCACCCAGGTGCCCCTGGGATGAATTCTTTTAAAAAGACCAATATAGAGTTACAGCTTTACTTATCAGTGATACATTATAGGAAATTCATATGTATACAGAAAAATCAGAGAAGCTGCATTCTAAGATGTACATTAAAACAAAGCAGGAGGCCAAAGTTATCAGGTGGTTTTTAAATATTATGGTTACATAAATGGCACATTTGAATGTGCAGATTAATTTCTATTTTTATGTTTTAAGGAATAATTTAAAATGAAATTTCAATTAAACATCTGTAGAACCCATCATTTTCTCTGAGAAACTATGATTTTGTAAAACTTGGTATGAAAACCACTGCTGTAGATTATAAAGAAATTTTTAAAGGTTTTGTTGAATGTAAAAATTCTTTTAAGACAATTCAAGCACTTATATAAATCTGTAGTTTTCTGGTCTTATTTCTTAAATGTTCTTGACTTAGAAATAATTTGACTGTTATTACTGGAGGATATATGATCTTACTGTCATATAGCCTTGGACTTCTATTTCTAGCCTCGCCTGTTATCAGCTGTGTGGCATTGGACAATTAATGCCTCTAAGCCTGTTTCCTCTTCTTTAAAATGAGACCTTGTGTTAGTCAACTGAGTTAATGTGTAGTTGCTAGCTATAGTAGCAATTATATGGTTCTCATCACTGTTATTTATATCAACTTTCTATTAATGATAGAAATTATAATAAAAAACCTTAAGGCATACAATATAAATACTTATAAGTTGTGGGGTATTGAGTTTACCTACTATTTCAAAAATACACTTGAAAGTCTTCAAATCAGTATCTGACCTTGGGTTAAGACCTGAAAAATGAGAGGGTTGTTTTGTTTTTTTTACCATGTTTCTTCTAGTATTAAGCAGCCTCAGTTTAGGTGATACATTGTCAAGATCATCTTTTTAAAAAGGTATTACTTTTGAAATTCTTTGTGCTTTATTGTATTAGAAAGGTTGGTAACTGTGAAAATGAGGGCCAGATCCAGCCTTTTGCTTATTTTCATTTGTCTCATGGGCAAGTACCACTCTGTGCTATGGCTGCATGATGGAAGCTGTCCCAGGATGACAGTACTGCTTCATGACTAGATCCTTGCCTCTGTACCAGAGGATTTGACACTTGTCCACTCCCTAAAGTAGAAAAACTCGGGAGCTTTTGACTTGTAATAATATATAAAATAACTACATAGAGTCCTTTCTTTGTAAAGCATAAGGTAGAAAAGTCAGCCCTTCACCGATGAGGCTACATCTGTTTTATTTTTAAACACTATTTAATTAACCACAAGTATCAACAGAAGAGGAGACTACTCACACCTTTTCTTTCCCCCACTCTTCTGTGACTCTTTTATCCTTTTATCTAATTTTGAAAATTACAGGGTTGGTAGTAAAAGGTAGAAAATGAGTAAGAAAAATACTTATAAAATTTTAGATCATTATTGTCATATTGTCTTCAAATTCTTTTTTCCAGAGTTTACTTATCAATTGGGGGGAGGAGGAGGAGGAAGTTAATAGGGAAGGAAGAGTGAACAACAACATTAGGTTTTCTATGTTGGACGACTGGGTGAATATTGATATCATTAGCCAAAATACTGATTGTAGAACAAGTTTTGCTGGGGAATACAATTAATTCAGTTGGGAATATATTAGATTTGATTTACTTGTAGAACAGTGTAATATGTTAGAAGTCTAACAGTCTGTTAGAAGGCTTAATATTCAGAAAAGAGGTAAGGACAAAAGACAAATTTGGGTGTCACAAGCGTATGGGTAGTAGTTAAGGGTCTTGATAAAATTAGCCAGCTCAAAAAAGTAAATGAGAGGTTTAAAAAAGAGGGCTAAAGATGGAAGCCTGAGATGAACCATTTACCATAAAGAATGGAGAGGTAGCCATCAGAGTGCTGGGAAGCACAAGAAGAAGAGCCTATAGAGAGCAGCTGTTCCCAGGGAAGGGCAGTGTCAGATATCACACAGCATTGGAGAAATTGAAGATGGAGAGATGTGACATTACAAAATTACTTTTGAGTTTAGCGGCTTTAGCAGGATATTGGAACACATACTGTATTGCATAGTTAGAGGAGTGAATGTCAGTTAAGAAATGCAGACTACAGGATACTTGGTGGCACTGGGAAGCAGAGAGAGAATGCAAAAGAGAGAGAGAATGATAGTGGCAAGGGAGAGACAGAATCCGTGAAGGGTGTTGTCAGCTTGGGAAATTTAGGGATAGTTTTATCCAGTGTAATGGGGTTGATCAAAGATAGTAGGGAGAGAAAGCAGTAACCAGTGGAGTCAGATTTTACGTGGAGTCAGTGGAGTCAGGTTATCGTGTCAGCACACATCTCACCTTGCTCAAGAGTTGTTGAGCATTATGTTTTCGTACTGGTAGGCTATAGCTATGTATTACCAATGTTTGTCTTTGTGACGTTGCTGTTGTCCTACAACCTTGTTCACCATTCCTAACACATTAATGGATTCTATTAGTGGTTTATATTTCTCATGTATTTATGTGATTATACTGTAGATTATATTTATTTCCACAGGTGTTTCTTATGGACAAAGCAATAGTGACATTGAAGCTCTACATCAGGCTTATTGTCATGTAGCCCATTCTTTGGGAGATACAGATGAACAAAGAATTGAGAGTAATGCACTGGAAAATATCAAGAGCTCAGTGAAAGATTATCCTCAAGAAAATGAAGAAGAGTCCTCTAAAAACATCTCTACTACAGAATCTGGTAAAAGTTAATTTGAGACCCTCTCTGAAGAGTTTCTCTTGTGGTGGTAATTTAAATAGTTTGCCATAGTGGTTGTTTCTCAATCTCTGAATTTAAAGGGTTTGCTCAGATGAAATTTGGGAATCAATAGTTTTATAAAGTTAGAACTGAACAGATAAAATTTTAATTCCTCTTTCTAATGCTTTGAACAAATCAGAAAATCATCAAAGTGTTTACACATTTTATATGCTTTTCTTTATGCATATACTAAAGTAATTTTTAAAACAGAGAACAGTATTTGGGGATCAACGAAATAATATACTTAACAAATGTGTGTGCATGTATCGACATACCGATACACATATATTTGATATTGATGTAGATGGATATGTCAAATATATAGACATATATTTCAAATATAAATTAAAGGAGATTTTCTTGGTACCAGTAAGTTTATAGTGGGGAAACTGGGTTTACTGTATTCAGAAAAAAATGTAATCTTAGTGGGATTAGACATTAAATTAAGCCATTCACCTAATTTTGGGGGTTGCTATTTTAACTTTTTGTTCCCCTCTTAGATCTGCCCACAGTAGAGGAGTTGATGAAACCTATCAGAATAGGTGTCAGTGGTTTTGATTTACAGCCTGTCAGGTATGATGTCTTTTGGAATGGATTATGCAGTTGTTTATTTGCATATTGTTTTGTTACTGGAAACTTATATTAGAATCATTTGTTCTACATACTCATTCCTAGCAAATGATTAACAAGTAGCTTATATGAGTCTACCTTTGAGTCACTGCTCTCCTTTTTTTTTTTTTTTTAATTTTTTTTTAATGTTTTATTTATTTCTAGGAGAGAGAAAGCGTGAGCAGGGGAGGGTCAGAGAGAGAGGGAGATACAGACTCCGAAATAGGCTCCAGGCTCTGAGCTGGCAGTCAGCACAGAGCCCGACGTGGGGCTCGAACCCACGAACTGCGAGACCATGACCCAAGCGAAAGTCGGATGCTTAACCGAGTAAGCCACCCAGGCGCCCCAAGTCACTGCTCTCCTTATTAGTAGTTCTTACTCAGTTTATCAAAAGCCTTCTAGTGCTAAAATTAAAAAATATTTTTTAAGTAAAAAAACATTGCTGCCATCAAGTATTCTGAAGGCTTTTTTACTGAAAACTAAAATCCTTTAGCTTTAAATAGCTCAGGGCAATTGATTTGAACAGTGAGAGTGAACATCAGTTTTATTCTGTATGAGTCATAGATTTGCTTTTTTATAAACCAGTTAGCTTTGCACTTAGTCACAGACCAGCCATCATTTTACAGGGTAAGATTTTTGGTCACAAGAGCAGTGGGCTTCATGAAAATGCACCGGCTCCAGTACGTTTTAATGAAAATTTGTGGGACCTCACTGTCATTCTCCAGCACGGAGTAGCACATTACAGTAACCTGGCATTTGTGTCACGTCTATTAGAGTGTCACATCCATCATTTCAGGCGATCCTCATAATAGGTCAGGTGTCTTTATCTGCATCATTCAGGTGATGAAACTGAGGTAAATCAGTTTAGTAGTGGAGATCTTGCAAGAACCCAGTCATGAAGCTGGTGGTGGTGGCAGTGGTGGTGATGATAATAATGATAACAGCTAACATTTTTTTCACACGCTTACTGTGGGCCAAGTACTGTGCAAAGTTCTTTACATCTTAGATTTCATTTAATCTTTAACAACTCTATGAGTTATATTTTATTATTCTTCCCATTTCATAGATATGAAAACTGAGGCTTAAAGAAGTTAAATAAATTGCCCAGGATCGTATGGTTTTATAGGGGTGGGGTGCCTGGGTGGCTTTGTTGGTTAAGTATCCGACTCTGAATTTCAGCTCAGGTCATGATCTCATGGTTCTCGAGATGGAGCCCCAAGTTGGGCTCTGCGTTGAGAGTGTGAAGCCTGTTTGGGATTCTCTCTCTCTCTCTCTCTCTCTCTCTCTCTCTCTCTCTCTCTCTCTGCCCCTCACTCATGCAAAGGCACGCATATTCTCTCTCTGTCTCTCAAAAGAAATAAACTTTAAAGAAGAAAAAAGATCATGTGGTTAGAACCAAGGAACACAAGAAATCTTTTGTGTGTTTTAACTACTTACATTGTCAGATCTTTGATCTCCATGAAATATTTCTGTGAAAAGCCTGTCATCCATTCCTGTATTTATTTGTTCATTTGTGCCCCTCCTTGTACTATATCCTCATGTAAATCCACTTGCAGTGATTTCTCATCCTGCTAGTTGAGAGAAAATGACACAATGAAGCTTAGGCTAAAACACTTCTGCTTGAATGCTTAGTATTCTTCCACTGATCTTCAGCACTAGTTGGTATTTTTTTTTTTTAATTTTTTTAATGTTTTATTTATTTCTAGGAGAGAGAGAGACAGTGTGAGCAGGGGAGGGTCAGAGAGAGAGAGAGTCACAGACTGAAACAGGCTCCAGGCTCTGAGCTGGCAGTCAGCACAGAGCCCGACGCGGGGCTCGAACCCACAAACCGCGAGATCATGACCTAAGCGAAAGTCGGACGCTTAACCGACCAAGCCACCCAGGCGCCCCAGCACTAGTTGGTATTTTTTAAAGGGCAGATTATTCTCTTTACTTCTGTTTGGGGCTGTGTTGGTATTAATGAAGAGATTTTTTTTTTTTTTTACACATCATGCATGTTTGCTGGCAGAGGTGGAATCATTTACTAATGTGAATTCTAAATATAATTGTTTCTCATTTTTGTTTAAAAGCTAAAAACAACTATACTTACGTTAAAACCATAACATTAATTACCAAAATGTCAGTGGTATAAACTAGTACACATAACTGAAACCTCTTTAGTAAACTGTAAATAATCTCAGCTTCTATAGCAAATAGTCCTTAAAATTTTAGTAGCTAAACATCCATCAAAAATTTAATTTTTGCTTATGTCATAATCCCATGTGTGTTAGTGGGTTCTACTCTACATAGGAGTAGGATTCTACTCCACATTAGTCATTTAGGGACCCAGGCTACTTTGTCATCAACACATGGTTTTAAGGTCGTCATGGCCTCATCCAACCAGTTGATAAAGAAAAACGATAACTTAGCACAATTCTTTTTAACTGCCTTAACACAGAAGTATTACATCCCTTCATATTCTACTGGTAAGAACCAGCACATCCAGCTAATAGGGTCCAAGAGGGCTGGGAAATATGATTTGCTTGTGTGCTCAGAAAGAAAAGCAATTGAGTTTAATAGGCATCTAGTCTCTACCAGAATCTACCCTTTTAATAGCCAAATATCCATTTTACTCCTCTTCACACAAAGGCCAATATCCCCTTCCCAAAGCAAAGAGCCCAAAGTCTCATCCAGGACCCTGTCCATCTGAAAGGCCAGGATTTTCAGGTGGAACATAGTCTTCTTCTCCATCAGGTTTGAATGCAGCTCTTCGGTGTCTACTAATCTGTGAATTAAAAACACAGGTTCTATACTTGATCCAATATATGATCGTGAAATAAATACTCCCATTCAGAAGGAAAATATATGAGGAAAATACAGCAATCAGTAATGGAACCTTGAAATCCACTGGAAAGGCCTTGTAAGGATATTTACGCCCTTGGCCACAACTGAAGTGGGTTCTGCAGGGAGGCTGTGCCCATCTTGAAGGATGCATTCCTTTTTTAGTCCACTTCCTGCCACCAGGTGGTTTTAGGTCTCCCATACAAGTCTTTGGCTTTTTTTTTTTTTTTTTTTTTTCCCTCCTCTCTGTTCATTTGCAGCTGTTTGGATATTATTGGGAACAATAACCTTAAGTCTTGAAGATGAAATATGATCTTCATCAAAGGACTGAGTAACTCTTTTCAACTGAGAAGTCTCATGAAATCCGGCATTTTTCAATGCTGAATCTTCCTCTTTTGAGTCTATGTACTTTACAAACTCAATCTATGAGGCCCTCAGTTTCTCTACTCTCTCTGTTCCCTTTTTTCTTATAAACTGGCCCTTTTTAAATCTTGAGCTCATGTCTTTCTTATAATATCTAGTCAAAAGTAGCCAACAGTAACTAGCATTTAGAAATTCTCCTGCCAGTTTTCTTAGTATCCCAGACTCCGTAGCTATGTGATCTGCCTTATAAACTATTGTAGGTGAGTTTGGCAAATGTTTTGTCAATGTAAAATATGGGTTGCCACTTCTCCAACGTTTAGCATCAGTTTCCTTGCCACCCAAAACCCAGCCACTAAGCCAATGACACATATCTTAGGTTCTTGTCACCAGCGCACTCACATTCTAAAGGCAAGAACTAGTAAGGAGCCCCAACTAGATGCAGGATGGTGAGGAATTGTAATTTATTTAGTATTCAGGAAGAACAGGAGACTGTTTTGATAACTTCTAGCCATAACCTGCTACCATGAAGAAGGAAATAATTTGTATTTTCTGATGATTACAACTACTTTATTAAGTTCTAACCAATCTGTCTCATATAAAAAATAGTAGCCTCTTAAAGTATATTTTATAAATGACATTATCTTATAAGTTATAAAATTAAATGACCTAATAGACCATGATTATGTAGTTTAAAAATAACAATATCCCTATTTTTGGAGCTCCTATAATATACTGATATTTAACCACATTTAGAAAATGTCCTTAATGATATTCTATTTTAAAAATTGAATGGTCTAAAATGTTACAGTGTGTTTAATTATTTTAAACAACAGAAATGATTTTTTTCAAAATACTAATGATTTTCCTGTTTTACTTTGAAATTTTTCCTATGACGAAATGAAATTTATGCTTTTTTATATTTATATTCTATTTCTCATTGACACAAATTTTGATTAGTTCTTTAGTTTCTTATAGAAATGTGTAAAATCTTTTTCCTGCCTCGAATGCATGTTGACTTTATAAGGTATTATGGATAAAAGATGTTATACACAAAGGTCATTTAGAGATTCAATTTTTATTTTTTCTTACACAAAAACCATCTCTGTCTTGCTTGGTTTGGCTTTCCTTTGAAGTAGGTCTCAGAATCATTCATTTAATTCTTTATATTATACTGCATTAAAATTACATTATCTGAAATTTTAAAGTTAGGGGTGCCTGGGTGGCTCAGTCAGTTAAGCGTCTGACTTTGGCCCAGGTCATAATCTCGCGGTTCGTGGGTTCAAGCCCCGCGTCAGGCTCTGTGCTGACAGCTCAGAGCCTGGAGCCTGCTTCAGATTCTGTGTCTCCCTCTTTCTCTGCCCCTCCCCCAACTCCCCCCGTGCTATGTCTCTCTCTGTCTCAAAAATAAATAAACTATAAAAAAATTTTTAAAATAAGTTATATGACACTATGTGAGTACACTCTGTTAACCAGAATTACAAATAGTGTATTTAACGTTAATGACCTAATTTGAATAGTTACAAATATTAAATGTATTTAATATTATGTATAAATAATATTTTACATATTAAAATATAAATCTTATATTTTGTGTGTCTGTATATGTGATATATATGGTGTGTGTGTATTTATGTGTATATATATATGTGTGTATGTGTATGTATGTGTGTGTGTATATAAATATGTGTAAATATATAAAACTGGTATTTGAGGAGTCACCTAAGGTTCATGCTCTGTCTGTCTTGTTTTCTAGCTATAAGAAACTGGCGGATAGTGGAGAAACTGAATTTGTTAGCCCTTTATCCCTTAAGAGGAACCCAAATATTATATCTCAAGAACCACAAAATGTAAACCAACTTTTTGACCAAAATGAAGAGAATGTGGTTTTACAAAAGACAACAAATAAAGATAGAGAAAATAGCTGCCCAGGAGTAAATACTACAGAAGAACATATAGATAAAATGTACCTTGATATTTTGAGGAAAAAAATATCTATTGGTCCTCCATTACTGCCTCAGGATGGCAAAATAAATAAAGTAAGTATTTATAATTGAAGTTGATTTGATTTGACATATTTATAAATGAAGTTATATAAATACTACTGATAACTAGATTCTTCTTAAGCTAGTGGGATTCATCACATACTAACCTCCATGTAGATCCTGGATATTTGAAGCAGTATTTATTACAACATTGTGTAATCCTCAGATTTTAAAATACCACTATATAGCATTTCCTGTCTTTTGGAAGCCATTATTTACATTCTTCCTTTGTTTTTAGTAAGCATAGTCCAGAATTTGAGTAGCATGAGAAAATAGTTTATTCATTATTCTAATGCTTTTTATTTAATCTTTCCAGTAGTGTGTGTTTTGCAAAAGTAAGTAGGTTGTCATTTATAAAAATGCTATTAGCAGCTGTTGAGAAAGTTATGTTTTACTGTTCCTTTTTCTTCTGTTCTTGATCTATTCTGATTTATAAAGTTTCTTTGATCTCAGTATTATAGTTTTATGGTTTGGGGTTATATGTTTACCTTAAATTATTTGAAGTTTTTTGTGGAATAAAGCAGGGTATTAATACATTTTTATCTTGAAAATTCTGGGGGTAAAAAAGATAAAATTTTATGTCATTTCAAAATATATTCCTTTCTGCTCTCCTCCATCTTAATTCTAGTAATCATACATCTTGCTTTCTGGCAAGCTTATTTTGTTTTATTATTTTGCTGTGTTTTACTCCTGACTTTGAAGATGTGCTTCAAAATACTAAAATTCTGAAGAGTTAGACTTTGAGAATTCTAATGTGTAGTGGTTTGCCTTCTACAAACAATTATCTAGTAATCACTATGGTTTTGCCATCTGTTAAATCTCCTTTTATAGCTGTAGTTGAAGTTAATTTACATCCTAAAAAGTTTCTACCTGTGCAGACTTTTAGATCTCAACTCAGTTCTGGAGAAGAAGGGGCTGTAACTGGTAAACATGAACCATATAAGAAGGCCAGAAGTGCACCTCCTTTACTTAAAAGAAAACCCCAAAGTGGATTATATGCATCAGTTAGGAGCTCAGGCTATGGCAAACCCAGTTCACCATTCAAGACTTTATCTGCTCTTGAAAAGAAAACTTCAAAGGACATTATGAAAAGTAAAACCTTGAGATCCATTCCTACTTCAAATCAAGCTAGGAAAAAAGGTAATCATATGCAGTTTTCATATTACAGTTCTGTGCACATAGTGTATTATGTTCCTTATTCTCTACTTTTCCTATTTCTTTCTCTTCTTCTGTGAACTTTTCTTTTTGTAGAAAAAATTTAATCTTAAGATAGTATATTCCATACTGAAAGATTCAATTTACAGAGGGGGTTTGGTCATTAGCTTTTGGCTTTCTGAAACGACACTTGTGAAGTATGGGAAATGAATAGAAGATAGAATAGAAGATAGGAGAGTCAAACTCATCCTCACCTGGTTGACTTTGGAACATCCACTGTTTACCAGAGAAGACGTACAAATTCAGAATGCAAATGGCAACCTACAAACGAAAGTTGATATAGAGATTATTTGGGTATTAGTTCCATATAGACTGAGATAGGCAGGATGTTTTATGTATTACATAATGCATATTTGTATACATTGCAGTGCCTCTGTTATTTCCTAATGCAGTCATTGGTAGTAGAAAAGGGTAATTTTCTATTTAGAAACCTATGCAGCTATTGAAAGAAACAGAAATGTTCATATCAAACCAACATTTCTGCTGCCTTTACACTCCAGTGAGGAAGGGAGAGCAATGGAGCCAGAAGCATTTTGTCCTTTCCTTTATGATTAATAGGTGACCAGTTTCATCATTGTTATTTGGTGATAGTTGTCATGAGAACTATCTTCATTGGAAAATTCATTTCTAGTTTAAAGTGTCTTTCCTTGCTTTTTCCTAAGACTGTAAATTCCAGGACCACTTTGACTGTATTTTAAATTCTTTAGGCATTAAATAGACTGTCTCCTGCCTTTGTGTGTGTGTGTATTTGCTGCAGCAACCTGTGCATCTCAGAAAAGAAAGCCCAGGCTGATTTACGTGAGAGTAAAGGAGGTGGTTATTCTGGAGAGACAGGAATATGATTCTACAGGATTAATACAAGCATCCTTTCCTCCTGTTCTTAACCTGTGGACCCCCAGTTCCTTTCTCTACAAAGTCTTTTGTAGTCTCTTGTTTTCCTCTTATTTTTCTATGGAACATCAACTTGTGATGTTGTCATCTACTTGTCATTAATAATTAACCACTCATTGGATCTAGTGCTTAATATAAAACAAACAAACAAACACTTGGAACATTTTTCAAGTTTTAGTATGATCAAGGGAAGAATGAAAATTTTTCATTCATGTTTAGGAGTATTAATGTTATACTTTTGGGAGCAAGAAAATGCAATTTTGCTTTTAATATTATTTATTCTATTATATTAGATAAATTAATTCCCAACATTTTTGAAGTTTATTTTATCCAGATTCACTTATTTAACAAATGTTTTTGGAGCACCTACTTTGGCCCAGGCACTATTAGGCCCTTGGACTACCTCAGTAAACAAAATTGGTAGAGGTCCTTCCCCTCCCCTATCTTTGTGGAACTTTCATCTGATAAGGAGAGACATTTAACAGTAAGCATAATAAATAAGTAAATAATGTTACTTGCGAAGGAAAGGTAAGAAGTAGAACAAGAGTGTCAGTGGTGGAGTACAGCAGGTTACAATTTTAAAAGGATAGGGTAGGCCTTGTTGAGAAAGAGCCACTTATAGGAGACTTATAGGTGATAAGAGTATTGGCCATGTGGATATCTGGGGAACATATTCCAGAAAGGTGAATAAAGTCTTAAAGACTTGGAGAAGTCTTAAAGTAGGAACAAATATCTGGCATGTTCAAAGAATAGCATAGAAGCTCATATCACGAGGGCAGAGTGAGTAAAGAGGATAGTAGGAGATGAGATCAGAGAGTCAAAAGTGCAGGCATGTATTTGTTTTTCTAGGGTATTTTAAAGACTTAGACTTTTACTCTGAGTAAACAGGTGAGCAGCTGAAAAGCTTTGACATGAGAGTAACTTCATCTGACCTCTTTAGACAGATTTCTCTGGCTGCTGTGTTACAGATCATATACATATAAATACATTCACATAGCATACGGGGCATGGGAAGAAGCACAGAAACCAGTGAGAAGCTGACTTTAGGAATCTAGGCTAGAATTGATGGGGCTCAAACCAGAGTGGTGGCATTGGAGGTAAAGAGAAGTGGTTGAATAAGGATATATTTAGACCATAGAACCAAAAATCTAAAAGACTGGTTTGGCATTGTGAAAGAGGAGTTCTGAATGATGCCAAAATTTTTGGCTTGAGTAACTGGAAAAATAGTCACTGTCTATTGACTACTGATGGAGAAGGCTTTGGTAGAGTAGATTTGGGGGTGGAAGGAAGATCTAGAGTATGGTTGATGAGGTGATAATTTTGAAATGACCATTCTACATTCAAGTGGAGACAACAAGGAGCCAATAGTATAGAAAGGTCTAGGCTACAAGAGGGAGGTGTGGATAGCAGATATGACTTGAGAGTTATAATTAAAACTAATATAGATAGTTTTTAAAACATGAGACTGACAAAGATTATGAAGAGAGTGAGCATTGCTATAGAAAAAAAGCAAACCAAGGCCTGAGCCCTGAGCATGCTAACCTTAAGATGTCAGAGAGAAGAGTAGTAACCTGCAAAGAGAATAGAATGAGACTGGAGGAAACCTGAATATATGGGATCCTGAAAGGTAACTGAAGAAAGGAGAATTTATTTCTCTATCAGTTGCTGCTGAGAAATAAAGGAAAGTAGAAACTGGGCACTGACCTTTGGGTTTAGCAAGGAAGAGGTCATGAGTAAACTGGACAGTTTCCATGGATATGTGGCTATAAAAGGTAAGCTTAATGAGAATAGGAGAGACTAGGAGAAATGGAATTGGATACTTGATTTATAGACCATCCTGGAGCAAAGAGTGTAAAAGGCAGAAAAACATGGGGTAGTAGCTGGCATGGGAGGTGGAGTCAAGTAAAGCTTTTTGTTTTGCTTCTTTTTTTTAAATGGTAGGAAATAATATGTCTAATAGTATGTTTATGCTTTTCAGAAAGATTCAGTAGAATTATGACAGAGAGGGGAAGAGTTGCTACAGCCATGTCCTTGAGTAGAGGAGCTGTTATGGAATCTAGCATTCAGTGGAAGGGTTGTCCGTGGATAGAGGCATGGACAGTTCATCTGTGGAAACAGATGGGAAGAGAGAAGATAGAGATACAGATGCTGGTGGGTAGGTAGAAATGGTGAAGGAATGTGGATGATTTCTTCTGATTGCTTCCATTTTCTCTAAGAAATAAAACATTTTATCATTAGCTGGCTTTGAGGATGGGGTAGGAGTGTGGGAGGAGAGAAGATGTGAAATAGCCACCCTGGAGGACTAGACTGCCAGCAGCAAAGTTCTCTTGTAGTTAGTAATTATGGCATTAAGTTGAGTCAGGCAGCACGTTTGTGTTATGTATGCGCATGTCCACATTTTGCTGCATGACTATAGGTGTTGGGTAGTCGTATAGTTGGATTTACCAAGAAGAGTGGTTTCTGCCTAATGAGTGCAGTGGACGGAGAGAGGAGTAAGAAGAGGCTAATAGTGTATATGGAATTCAAGTTGAGTAAGGAAGGAAGGAAGGAAATCAAGGGGTGTAGTACAGTATGAAACAGGATCAACTGACTGTGAGTCTTGAGTAGAAGAGTAACGGAATCTAGGAATTGGTCAAGGAATTGTTGGAATCCAGGTACCAGAGGGCATGAAGTGGAAGATACAATTGATGAAGAGCAAATGCCTAAGACTGAGATCAGGAGTGAGATTATATCAACGGAAATATGTAGCTGAGGTGGAGAGGTGAAGTATAAGGACCCAAAGCCAGGGTTGACAGGATCGCCTATGAGTATATTGAAATTACTAAGAATGAAAACAGAAGTAACATCACAGTTGGTGGAAAAGAAACTAGGGGCATGATTGAGAGGTTGATAGATGAAAATAACAGTATTTTTATGAATATTTTTTCCTATTTCAAAATCTTAGAGTATTTGTGACTACCAAAATAAAACACTAAAATTTATATTAGAGTACAATGATAAACCGTGACTGTTTTTATACTGTTGCTTGTTTTCATTAGACCAATAAGGGTGATAGCCTTTTTATCTCCTTTTCTTATAAAATTCCCTCAGAGCAATTTTACCTTTATTCAGACCAATTTTAATTCCTCTGTATGGTCGTTACTTGTCACAGGTTGTGCTCTCCAATAAGCAGACTCTAGTGTACAGAAAGTCTAGAAAATGCTCTTAGAATCAACGTTGGTTAAGATGAAAAATAAGCCAGCTGCTGGGGCTTACTCAGTTTTTCTTCATGTACAATGAGCCCAGGGATAAGCAGTTCAGAGCTAGTGCCACTGTACTAGGAACCAGATCCCTTTTTCTTTCCTGCTGCAAAATCCTTTATATGTGACTTTTGTCTTCATTGTCGTAACATGAGTACTCGGCCTCCAGGCTGTGTCAGGAGGAAAGGTGAAAGGTAAAAGGTCCATGCCAGTTACATCATCAACTTCTTAACCAAGAAAGTAGTGACTTTTCTGCAAGCCCCATGTAAGGAACTTTTGCTTTCATCTTATTAGCCTGAATTTTGATCTTATGGTCACCTCCAGTAACTTGGAGTCCAGGGAGATGAGTATTTTCTTTTTTTTTTTTTTGAATAGTTTTTTTTTTAAATTTTTTTTTTATTTTTTTAATGTTTTTATTTCTAGGAGAGAGAGAGAGACAGCGTGAGCAGGGGAGGGTCAGAGAGAGAGGGAGTCACAGACTGAAACAGGCTCCAGGCTCTGAGCTGGCAGTCAGCACAGAGCCCAATGCAGGGCTCGAACCCACAAACCGCGAGATCATGACCTAAGCGAAAGTCGGACGCTTAACCGACTAAGCCACCCAGGTGCCCCGGAGATGAGTTTTTTCAACTGGCTACTTTGCTGCCCAGAGCAAAGTTAATACGGAATTTTCTATTAATAGGGAGGAAGAGGAGACTGACAATTAGCAGTACCTGCTGTGTGGTTGTTTTCCTTTTTATTCTTCATTAATTTTCTTTGGCTGTTAATCTATGTTTTATTTTTAGACTAATAAGCTTCTCATTATAAAAGGAATAGTTGCTCATTACTTAAATTCAAAACTATAGAAAAGTAAAAAAGCAATCACTTAGCAAGAAACAACTAGTGTCACACTGGGTTAGCATCATTTCATACTTCTCATGTGTATGTCCTTATACAGATAGAAGGAAGCGTAAATGGGTGGATGGAAGGAGAGAGGCAGACATATAGCTAAATGGACAAAACATTTTATAAGAACAGGATTACTCTTTATAAGTTCTTTTTAAGTAAAATATTAAATTTAGTTTTTCTTAAACTTGCAAGAAGAAAATGAAACTTCATCCTAGGAAATGTATCCCAAAAGATCCTTTAAGAAAATAGATTTTGAAAATTGCTCACATGTTGCCAAAATCATGCTGTTTTTAACTGCATTTTCAATTTTATGCATTATCAGTTTTCCCTTCTATAAAATAAAAGGTAGTAAAACTCTTTTATCTCCCACTCACATGCCTTGTACTCATTGTTGATTTCATTTTTACTTGTCCAAGATATATTTATTCTCCCCTGCAACACCCTCAGCTTTTGAATGTAGATCTTGGTTCTGGTTATGAAAGAGATGGAATGCTTTTCACAGGTCCCTTAGCCATAATTTCTTCATTCTGGAATTCTGATGGTTGATTTCCTTTTTGACTAAATTTTCTTAATTCATTGTTTTTTCAAGAAGGGTTCATGAGGTCCAAATTCTGCAGTGTTTTCATGTTTGAATTTTATATCCAGGAAAATTTTCTGTCATATTAAGAAAAAAGATACTGTCTTTGTACCATTACTGAAAATAATTACTTAAAGAAATCATATTTAAGAACTCAGGAAGAGAGAATTCTGGTATAAAAGCCCCGGCTGACTACAATTTGAATAAGAACCACCTGCCACTCTTAGCTGCCACTTCCTGGGGAGAATGACAGTCCTAGCAGATCATACTCCATTCATTGGTCACATTAATGGACCTCCAGTGACCTGGAAGGATGAATGCCAGCTTTTACAATGACTCAGTTTCTTTGAGAACACGTTAGGAAATTTCTCCAAAAAACCCTACAGCATCAGATAGTCCAATTGAATATGACTACTACTCTGTAAGGAAAACCTCTGCGTGCCTGGAATAAAGATCAGAAAGAAATCTTTGGGTGAGGTACTACTGGTGACTTGTTTCTTCTTTTGACTTTTCTGTATTTTTCAAATCTTCAATAACCATGTGTTTCACTTTTAACTAAAAAGTAAACTTTACACTTAAAAAGGTAACATCTTGAATTAATTATATTTAAAAATACGAATTTCAAATTCTTTGTTTACCTCTAAGGCAAATAAATAAATGTTTACTGACTATTCAGCTCAGAATCTGTAGAGGCCTCAAGATCTCTTCCAGGTATTTCTCGTAAATGTTTTATTAATTGAATAATTTGTTGGCCTTAGAATTATTCCTACTGTTTGGGGATTTACGAAGTACCTTAAAATAGCTGAAAATTTCACCAAAATATACAGTAATCACTTTTTTCTAATTTAATATATATTATCAGGTTTTTTTTTTAGCAGTATTATAATAATATACTTTTATTTTTAAATCAAATTTTGACTAGCTGTTATAAAGTTTCCATGTAATTTATATTATGCCATTGATAGTATATCTTGATATACATTATTTATGAAAAGTATGCTTTGAGAGCACACTTAATCTGAACTAAAATGCTTCAGGAAGTTATCAGTTGCTCTTTGATTCATCATTTAGATACTATTTGTTATTGCTGTGACTAAAAGAATAGTTTATTTAAAGTGAGCAAGGCCTGAAATTATCCCTGTGCATATTCTCCTCACATTTTTTAGCTCCATTTATCATTTGACATGAATCTTGGGTCAGTTCGCCTTCTCTGTCAAACTGCGTGAGATGTTGATTATGGGCAGTGGTTCTTAGTGCAGTGAAACAGCTGTGTTGTAATGTTATACCTCAGCCTACCTTGAGATCCTCATTTATCTCAGCGTTCCCATTGTATTAGTACTTACTGTTACAGAATTACTGAATAAACTTTCAACTTTGTTTGCTTTTGTGGTGCTTTTGTCTATTGTTTACAATATTCAGAAATCTTATCTGGAACAAAAGTCATCAAGCCTGCAGCTCTGGGTAAACCAGCTCCCAAAACTGAAAGTTGCCTGGTCACTCCTAAGAAGGCTGAAGATTCTACAGAAACTGATTACTATGTTCAGTTTCAGAATGTAGGTATTTAATTTCAGAATCACATTCTTAATTTTTTTCTGTTCTATAATTTAAAACTCAATTATAAATAATGAAATATGTGAAATTTCTTCATCAAGAGTGATGTTCTAATCTTACTGAACATTTATTGATTTCCTTATATAGTAGGACAGTGTTAACCATGCTTTTTTATTCATTGTGCTTTTTTTCCCCTAACCACCTATGTTCCAATCTACTATGTAAATATACTGTAATGAAGTAATGCTTCTCCTTGAAAGGATTCTTCAGGATACTGTGGTGGGAACAAGGAGACAGAGTTAATTATGTGTAAAAGAGTTCAAGAAGCAGAGGAAAAATGGAGGGGTGCACAAGCCCTAATTGAGCAAATTAAAGTTACATTCTCAGAAAAAGAGAGAGAGCTGGAAAATAAGATGGAAGAACTAAGAAGACAACAGGAAAAAGAACTCTTCAGACTAAATCAAGACAATTATATTCTTCAATCCAAGGTACTAGACACATTGTCCTATTTCTCCTTTCATTGATTAAAAAAGAACTTTTATTCCCTGCGCAATGCATTCTCATCCTTTGTTCTTGCGGCTGTTTGACTTGATGTATTTGCTGTATAAAATGTGAACAGGGTTCCGAAGACTGCCTCCTCACAGCAGAGCCTAAATCGAACCCACTGGAAAAAAAAAAAATCAAATTTAAATTGGCCCATTTTGATAATTTTCTTCTGTTAGCAGTCCTTTCTGAGAATAAATCCCTTAGTTCATTCTGACCTTCAAAGAAGACGGTTTCAGAAAGAACTGCTATGGAAGGGCCTAGATTCTGAGAATGGCACTGTAGCATTTCTGAGTTACTTTCACCAGAACCATCAGCATAAAATATCACAGTAATGATCTAACTGTAGTTAGTGTTAATTCCATTGTATTTACGGGACAGTTTTATTTTTTATTTCTTAAATTGTTTATCAACTTTTTAAATCAATTAATTTATAGGTTTTTTTTTTATTATAGTTTATTGTCAAGTTGGTTTCCATATAACACCCAGTGCTCATCCCAACAAGTGATGGGACAGTTTTATATATACACACCTTGAGTTTTGTTTTCTTCTTCATTTCCCGCTTGATCATTTCTTTGCCCAAATAAAATAATGTCTATTTTCTCAAAGTTGAGTAGCTTTGAAGAAACAAACAAAAAGCAAAGATGGTTACATTTTGGAGAAACAGCTGATCCTGTCACTGATGAAAAGTTGAAGCAAATTCAAAAAGAAATACAAGAACAAGAGACACTTCTTCAAGGATATCAACAGGTATGGTGGTTCTTCAGCACTTTGTGAATTTGTTCTTGAGATCCTTTAATTGTAAAAGTAAGGCACATTAAAATAATTCTGTGCTCATAAAGCAGGTAATAGGCATTCTGGCAAATATGAGGATGTAATAATTTTACTAGTCTCAACATTTTTAATGGGTATAATTAAAGTGGTTAAGAGCATGAGTTCTGGATTCACAGAATCCAGTGTTAGCCTTTGCCCTGTCACCTGCTGTGCAGCCTTGGGCAGATCACTTCACCTCTCTAAGCCAGTTTCCTCATCCTTGAAATGGGATGGTAATAATAGTAGCTGCCTCATATGATGATGGCTGTGAAATTAAAATAAAGTACAAACCAACCTGTTAGTCCCTGGCACATACTAACTAGTTAGTGAATGTCACCTGTTACTATTTTTAATAGCCATATTCCTTAGAAACTGCCCTATTTTTCTTCAGTTTTCTGTAGTGCTTTTCAGTAGATTGTATTGACTAGTTTTGATATTATATTCAGAAATGCAAATCTGAAATTACTTGCCAGTGTGCTGAGAGTGAAAAAATTTGAAGTAAATGAGAGAAAATTTGTGTGTCCTACAGAAGGCAGACACTTGCCTTGTGTGATGGAATCTTGGTGATGTTGACCAACCAGTCAGCCAAGACAGGTTTAGTGATCTCCAGCATAAAACCTCATCTTAGTGTCCTCCCCTTTTTTTCCCTTACTTCCCTCCCCTTCTGTTTCTCTCTCATTACCTTTTTCTCTTCTGACCTTTAAGCATCAAGCATAACAAGCATTGTCATCTGAGAACATCCAGAGAAAATACTGTCACATCCGTGATCACATTTCCTATAAATGAAATAGTACTGGTTTCGGAGGACACATTGCCCTGGAGTTAGAACCTTCTAAATCCTTCCCTTGCCATTCTGATCTTGCTGTGCAGGGCACACATTTTTAAGGGGGATTTCAGAGTCCCAGAAGGATGCCAACTACCTTCTCCCACAAAGATAACACAAAACTTACATATCTGTGTACATTAAATTTCAGGTGTTTAGACACGGACCATCTACCAGGCCCTAGGCCAGACGTGGTGAGAGAGTACATGGTTTTTATTAGATCCTCAAAGGTCCTTGGTTTTCATCAGATTCTTAATTTTAAAAAAGTTAATAAGCCACAGCACGTAAGCACAGATTAGTACTTTCTCCCTCTGATCTCACTGTTTGAGTCACTCTTTAGTCCAAGGCTGGTGGAGAACTGGGCCTGGTTTCTGCTCAGCCTTGTCCCTACACTTTTGGAAACACCTGGTCTCAAACTCCCTGCTCACAGAAAGTTCCAGAAACAAGCATGGAAGCCCATCATAGCTATCTATATCCAGTTACCTCACTGCAGGGAGCCAGGTTAGAAACAGAAAAAAGAGAATGCAAACAGTCCCTGTGGGCCTTTCTGCCCCTGGTCCTCACAGTTGGCATGTGGTTATTCCTGCAGCCATCACCCACTTCTGTGAAATTCAGTGCCTTATACTGACTTTAGGATCTTTGGCTTTAAGAGTTTTTGTACTTTTTTTTTCATGTAAGCATTTTGGAAAGAATTGTTTCAGATAACAAGTTTTCTTCTGAGATAACATAAAGAATTAAAAAAAAGATTTTGCTTACCAAAAAACTGAAAAAATTTAAAAGACTTTAAAAATGCTTAAAGTGGAGCACCTGGGTGGCTCAGTCAGTTAAGCATCCAACTTTGGCTCAGGTCATGATCTGATGGTTCATGGGTTCGAGCCCCACATTGGGCTCTGTACTGACAGCTCGGAGCCTGCTTCAGATTCTGTGTCTTCCTTTCTCTCTGTCCCTTCCCAACTTGTCCTCTCTCTCTTGCTTGCTCTCAAAAATAAACATTAAGAAAAAAAATTTTTAATGCTTAAAGGATGTACCTATTATGAGCATATATATTTTCTATGTAAGTACTAATAACTTTTAACTAAAATATAATTTTCTGTTTATGAAAAGGAAAATGAAAGATTGTATAATCAAGTGAAAGATCTGCAAGAACAAAACAAGAAAAATGAGGAACGAATGTTCAAGGAAAACCAGAGTTTATTCAGCGAGTTAGCTTCCTTAAAGTGAGTCCTTTCTGAATTCTTAATATCAAATATACTTTGACTATTTCTAAGGATTTTATTATATTACTAATACATTTTGTTTTTACTTAGAACTGAAAAAATTTTACATTGATTTATAGTTCATAACTTTTATAGTTTTAATATTCATTGTATTTTTCCAAAGTACATACGTTAGTATTTTCAGCATACTCATATCTGAGTTTTATATCAATTTTGGGAAATTGAGTATATAGTATTCATCTTGATCAATCATTAAGACTGAGATGCTTAATCATCTCCTAAGGAACCATGTGATTAATAATACTAAAAATATGATACAGTATCACTTTAGGTCAGGTTCTGTAGAAGTGGAGCCTGAGGTAGGGATCCTTATGGAGGTGATTTCCTGGAGTATAACTCTCAGGAAAAGGGGAACAAGAGACGCAAGATGAGGGGATGAGAGGAGGGAAGGTAAGTAAGACTGGTCTTAGCCAGAGACTGGCTTCATTCTCTTCTCCCCAGAAAGCTTAGAAGAACAGATTGTACCAGAGTAGGTCCCACTTGAGGCAAGAGGAGCAGGCTTTCATACCCCCAAACTGGTCGTCACTGGCTGAGGGATGCTCCTTGAAGGGAGTTGGGGATATCCTCCAGGCCAGCCAGCAGGGGCTGCTATTGAGAAGGAGACTTAGTGGCTTGTTACTAACCAACATTCAGCATGGCAGGCTGATGAAGCAGCAGCACCTACTTGGGAATCATATTTCAGACGATGAGATCTTTTGGATTTTACTACCTCCAGCTTTAACATATTAAGTGAAAAAGCTGAACTCACAAACATGGGCAAATTAGGGTACTGTCTTCTTTTAGGAAATGACTAATGGTTTTGTGTCACTTCATATAAACACCTAATTACCCAGATAGGACTGCTATTAGAAGAAACCTCTTAAGGCATGAATGTATGACCCAAGCCAATTGTGATAATCTGCACAGTCCTGATACGTGAAAGCATTATATCTGATTTCTTTCCAAATGCCTCAATAAAAGTATTTTAAAATACCACATCTTCTACTGCCTGGCTTTTAAGAGATCTATTCCCACATCCCAAATTGAAACTTTAAATGAACTTTCACAATGAAATAGATGGTTTCTTTACTGCATTAGGATTACATGATCTTACATAGATTTCCTAAACTCCTTGTATAATGTTTCTGGAAAAACAGAAAAATTGATTCTAACTTTAGATGATAGACTGTTTGGTTTTGTCAGTCTCCATGTGTATGATTGGCAATTTGTGTTTCTTAGAAAGGAGTCTAGAATGATGTGGCAAGGAGGACACACTCCCAGAGGAAAAGTGCAGCACATCTTTCTGGGACATAGGGTTTTTCCCTCTGAGAATTAGGAGAAAATATTTTTTTATTTTATAAATAAGCAAGGTGTTGGGGTTTCAATTCTTTTATTTAAACAACTCAAAGTATACTTTTATCATTTTAATACTTTAAACGTTAGAATAAACAAACTTTTTCTCTTCAGTAGCTCAGATAGTTCCAATGTCCATCAGTTTTCTTTTTTATTGAGAATTGTATATTTTGCATTGAAAGGAGTACTTTGTTAAAAAAATTTCTTTTTGTTTTCAAAATAAATCAGAGAACAGATGCACAAAAGTCGTTTCCGATCTGAAATAGTTGAAGATTCAGAGCCCACCAAAACCCAGAATTTTACGGATCTGTTAACAGAGCTACGGATGGCAGAGGTAAACTTCATAAGGATTTTACTTACTAGATTATTATAAAAACTTCCATATGTGTAAAAAAATCCATTTTTGTGATTTGTGAAGAGATAAAATTTGTAAGTTTCATGCTGTTAAAAAAGGTATATCTAAAATTAGCATTTAATATGCGTGTGACTTTCATACAGAGAAAATGACACAGTGCTTATTTTAGATGGCATCCTCTTTATAACCACCTTCTCATCTAGCATTCATCACATGGAGCCATATTGGAGGCATAACCTTACTTTTGGCATGCACACTTTATTTCAAACAAATTCCTTATTGGAAATGTACAGCTAAAATAAGAAAATAATTTAAAGATGATTATTCACCTTAAAATGTTAGTTGGCTTTTTACCTGTCTTCAGTGGCCTGTGCGTTTCTAGAAGGCCGAAACTGTATCTACAAATATTTGTATCTCGTGTACCTAACACAGCTGCAAAATGCAATAGCTGCTCTGTAACTTTTTTCTTTCATTTTTATTGAATTGTATTATAAAGGATTTGGCTTACAATTTTCTTAAGGTTTAATTTTATTTTTTATATATAATTTATTGTCAAGTTACCTAACATACAGTATATATGTTGTGCTCTTGGCTTCAGGATTAGATTTATCACTTAAATCACTTACAACACCCAGTGTTCATCCCAGCTAGTGTCCTCTTCAGTGCCATCACCCATTTCCCCACATCTCCCACCCCCGACTCCCTTCCACACTCAGTTTGTTCTGTGTATTTAAAGGTCTCTTATGGTTTGCCTCCCTCTCTGTTTGTAACTATATGTATTTTTTTTTCTTTCCCTTCTTCCATAGTCTTCTGTTAAGTTTCTCAACTTCTACTTATGAGTAAAAACTTATGATGTCTGTCTTTCTCTGATTGACTTATTTGACTTAGCATATTTATTTACACTTAGTGTATTACATTAATACATAGTGTGAATCCAGTTCCATACACGTTGTGGCAAGCAGGAAGATTTCATTCTTTTTCATTGCCAAGTAGTATTCCATTGTGTGTATATACCATCTTCTTTATCCATTCATTTGGGCTTTTTCCATAATTTGGCTAATGTTGATAGCACTGCTATAAATTGGGTACGTGTGCTCTTATGAATCAGCACTCCTCTGTCCTTTGGATAAATTCCTAGTAGTGCTATTGCTGGGTTGTAGGGTAATTCTATTTTTAATTTTTTGAGGAACCTCCACACTGTTTTCCAGAGTGGCTGTCCCAGTTGGCATTCCCACCAGCAGTACAAAAGGGTTCCCCTGTCTTTGCATCCTCATTAACATCTAGTGTTTCCTGAGTTGTTAATTTTAGTCACTCTGACTAATGTGAGGTATCAGTGTAGTTTTGATTTGTATTTCCCTGATGATGAGTGATGGTGAACATCTTTTCATGTGTCTGTTAGCCATTTGGTGGCTTACAGTTTTCTAAAGCAGTATTTATTAATGGGAGAATTTTGGGAATTTTGGTCATGTTAATACTGTTCTAAGCAGAATATTTCCCTGTATTACATAATTTTTACCATCCATGTCCCCAGAAAATACATGCTCATAGGATTCACCAGTGTATAAGAATCAAAAGCACTGCCACATTTCCAAACTTGTCCCCTGTGGAAGGGCAGTTAATTCTCCCCACTCCTATTGAGAACTGTAGCATGAAACTAAATCTCTATGAATGATTATGTGAATTACAAAAATTCCAATTATGTCCCACTTTTTAACAAGGAATTATATAAAGTTTTGCTTTGTAGAAATCTACACATACCCTAATTTAATAACTGATGGTTAACAGGCTTTTGGAGTATATAAAATGCAGCTTCAAATATGAATCCATTAGGGAACTTTCTTCAGGCACATGTATGCATGTATAGCATGAGTAGATAGGCAGATAGGTTAGAAGAAGGAATGAATGGTTGGACTCCTCCTAACTCCCTTATTAGTAGGCCTCAAAAATTAGCAAGGTAAAAGAAGGCTTGGAAAGGCTTGGAAAAACATGGTAAGTTTTCAAGCATAACATTAGCTTTATTTAAATTCTGTTATTAGCAACCTTTCAAAAGTGCTGTTTTAAAAATATATTTCTGAAGATAGGAAACTAAAAGTGCCACTAAAAACATCAGGAAATGCTGGATAAAATATAATCAACATGTTTTGTTTTTTTTTTTTACAAATAGTTTATTGTCAAATTAGTTTCTACATAACACTCAGTGCTCATCCCCAAAGTGCCCTCCTCCATGCCCATCCCCCCTCCCCCCCACATCCATCAGTCCTCAGTTTTTGTCAGCATTCAAGAGTCTCTCATGGTTTGCCTCTCTCCCTTTCCCCCACCATTTCCGCCCTTCTTCTCCCCCTTGTTCCTCCGTCAAGTTCCTCCTAATCCTCCTATACGTGCAAACATAGGATATTTGTCCTTCTCTGCCATAATCAACATGTTTTAAGTGCATAATGTAAAAGTTCTCAAGAAAGTAAGAATTCTCTAGGGGTCAGAAATGAGAAGGGATAAAAGCCGACCAGTAAGCATCTGCTGCTAGACCAGCAGTTCAGTGGCCATGGGCTTGAGCTTTAACAGCAGAGTGGGGACAGGACACCCAAAGAGACATATCCTCAGTATAACAGTGGACTAGGAAAAAATCCACCCACCTTCACAAGGGGCTGAAATGTCAAGAAGCTTTTCTTATAAGAAGTTTCTGTCTTAACTTGATCTCCAGATGGGGAGAGGGAAAAAGTCTTCTCAGTGCCCATGCTTTACAGATTGTTCAATATAATGTCGTCTGTTCTGCCTTCATTTGTGTGACAGTATTTGAATTGATGCTACCTACAAGGGTTATTCATGCTCAGACTGAAAAAATATAACATATGCTGTAGTCCAGAGTCAGTGAGAACCTCTAGTATGTCTCAAAAAAATAAATGCAAAACAGCTCTAAGAAGTATACACTCTTAACCCAGCTTACACAGTATTTCTACAGATAAAAACCTGCTGATGACATGCTCACAATGCAAAATTACCAAAAAAAACAGAGAAACTATCCATAATGAGCAGGCATGGGATGATTTAATAAACAGCCGTTTTTGAACCTCAATAGAATTATTGGATAGACATATAATATAAAGACTAAAAATGGAGAATATTAGATATATGAAATGCTAAAATATATTTAAATATTTTTAAAAGGTTATGGCTAAGAATTTCCCAGAATTAATAAAGGAGATGAATTCTCAGATTTAGGAAACCCAGTGATTCCCTCCTCAGCATAAAGTATAAATCACCATCTAGGCCTCTAATGGTGAAACTACTAAAGGCAAAAAAAAAAAAAAAAGAAAGAAAAAAATGTTAGTTTGAGATAATAGTAAAAACTGGGGATTTGTTTTATTTCTGCAAATACTGTAAGATGGAATGTAAATATATCTTTTATTTTCATTTGCTGTGGTATTCTGGGTTTAGATGGTTTTAGAGCAAAATTTCATACTGGGATAAGTCTATAATATATTCATGTTGAATATACTTGTGTACAGTCTAATTCATACCTTAAAAATTAATAGCGATTAGTATAGTATTAAAATGTGAGTAGGTTCTCTATAAAGCATACATAGAAGCATAGTAAAAGCAAAGATTCTGAGCTCTTTCTTTTTAATATCCCAAGGAGGGAAGAAGAATGAAGCTGACCACAACTTATTCATTCAGTCATCTTTTATTAAGCACCTGCCACATGCCAGGCACTTGTTCTGGCATTGGAAATATAGTAGGTAAACAAGACAGTCACAAACCTTGCTAGGAACACATATTCTAGTAGGGAAGACAGTAAGGTAATAAAGGAAACAATATACATAGAAATGTGTGCTTTGAAGAATATAAAAATAGAGAATAAGGGGATGTGGGGCAGAGAGTAAGGCACTAGTCAACAGTGGTCTAGGAGACTCTCTGAAAAAATTTTGTCAGAGTTGAGAACTAAAGGGAAGCAGCAGCCATTAGGCAAAGATGTAGCCAGGAGAAAAGCATAAACCTTGCGTCAGGAAGGGACTTGTTACTTTCCAGAGTCAGAGACCCTGAGGCAGAAGTGGGTGAGTAAGGACAAGGCCAGAGACGCAGACAAAGACCCTCTCTGAATGTCTACATTGTAACTTACAAGGGAGTGAAAGTACTTGCCAGCCCCAAACCCTGTGCCCACAGGATTGACCTGGGACATTACTGGCCTTCAAAGTGGGAAACCTCAGTCCCTGGAAGGATGCAAGCATGGAGTGTCATCTGTTTAAGTGTCAAATGTTTGACTGAACTTTGACTTCAAAAACTCTAAGTCCATGAAGTAGACTTTACCAGAGAGCACTGCTACATGATTGAACTAATTAAACAAAAGGTACCTGCAGAAAGATGCCTGAGCATTCAAATACTTGAAACTCAGTGCTCTCCTGAAAAAGACATCTACAGAAGATCACAAAGAAGATTGAACAATGAAATTACGCCATTAAACCTGTGATGCAGTTAGAAACCATGATTATATAGTGCTTTAATGAATGGATTTATTTTCTTCACAAGACTGGATTTGGTATTATAAGATAGGGAGATACAGAATTTGTTTTATTTTGAAACTTAATTATACTAAGTCTACTGCTATGAGTCCAAGAGGTTTTTTGTTTCCTTTTTTTTGTTTTAGCAGTTATAAGTTCAGTCCAATAAACATTTATTGAGTACCAGCTGTGTGCTTAGTGCCATAAAGTAAAGAGGTACAAGTAATAAATCAGTCTTAGTTCCCATAGAGTTCTCAGCGTAATAATGAGAAGAGGTATGTACCCAAATCAATATCATAGGACACAGAAAGTAATAAGTACTATACTAGAGGCACTACAGAAGTTTATTGGAACATTGAGGAAGAGATTATCTGGAATAGCCTCATTTGAACTATGCTTTGAAGGATAAGTATGATTGTGTGAATGGGGGCTATTGAGGGTAGTGATGAATGTAGGGCGTTTTGAGTATTCATTCAACCTTTTTTATGTGCCAAGCATTTTTCATGCATTGTTTCATATAAAGATGAGTAAAATTAAGCTCTGGTTTAAACTAAACATATGTCAGGTGATGATGAGTTCTATGACAAGAAAATAAAGCAACATACTTGGGGGTTAGGATGAAGTTTCTATTTTAGAAAGAATGATTGGGAAGATCTTCCTGGGGTTTCATTTGGGCAGAAATCCTGATGAAATAAAAGAGTAAGCCACCTGGCTATCTGGGGGCAGAGCTTTGAAGGCAGAGGAAACAGTGAGTGTAAACACCTTGGGGTGAGAGTGTGCTGGTTATGTTCAAATAACAGAAGTCTCTGATGCGGGAATGGAGTGGGAAGAGGAAGATTTTTTTTTAATGTTTTATTTATTTTTGAGAGAGAGAGACAGCGTGAGCAGGGGAGGGCCAGAGAGAGAGGGAGACACCGAATCCGGAGCAGGTTCCAAGCTCTGAGCTGTGAGCACAGAGCCCGATGTGGGGCTTTAACCCACAAACCATGAGATCATGACCTGAGCCGAAGCCAGATGCTCAACCAACTGAGCCACCCAGGTACCCCAAGAGGAAGATTTATAGTAGATCTGCCCAAAAACATGGGTAGGGTTGACCTGAACTTCATGGTAAGGACTTTGGATTTCTCCTGAGAGGGATGGGAGCCACCAGAGAATTTCAGACAGAGGAGCAAAACTCACCATCTGTTTAAAACAATTCCTCTCTTGAATAGAGAACTCATGAAAATACCCACACATATGTGGTCAGTCAATCCAAGACAAAGGAGGCAAGAATATATAATGAGGAAAGGATAGTCTCTTCAATAAATAGTGTTCGGAAAACTGGACAGATACATAGCAAAGAATGAAACTGGACTACTATCTTTTACTATATATAAAAATAAATTCAAAATGGAGTAAAGATTTGAACGTAAGACCCAAAACCATAAAAGTCCCAAAAGAAACCATAGGCAGTAAGCTCTTGGACATTGAACTTAGCACTTTTTTTGAACCAGTTTCAGGCAAAGCCAACAGTATCTAAAATGAATGTGATTATACCAAACTAAAAAGCTTTTGCACAGTGAAGGAAACCATCAGAATGAAAAGGCAGATTACCAAATGGAAGAAGATACTTGTATGTGATATATTGGATAAGAGGTTAATATCCAAAATATAAAAAGAATTTATACAAATTAATATCAAAAACACATAAAACATGACTAATAACAACCAGAGGACTCGAGTAGACATTTTTCCAAAGAAGATGTACAAATAGCGGGCACATTAAAGTATGCTGAACATCTCTAATCAGGAAATACAAGTCAAAACCACAGTGAGATATCACCTTACACCTGTCAAAAAGACAGATCGCTATTGTCAAAAAGACAAAAAATAACAAATGTTGGCAAGGTTGTGGAGGAAAGAGAACCCTCATACACTTTTGGTGGGAATGTAAATTGATGCAGCCAATATGGAAAACAGAATGAAGGATTCTCAAAAAATCAATAACAGAACTACTCTATGATCCAACAATTCTACTTCTGGGTATTAATCCAAAAAAGACAGAAACATCAATTTGAAGAGATATTCATCCCTATGTTCCTTACAGCATAAAATACCCAAGATATGGAAGCAACTTAAGTACCCAATGATAGATAAACATACCAGATATTACTCAGCCATAAAACAGGATGGGATCTTGCCATTTGTGACAGCATGGATGGATCTAGAGGGTATTACACTAAGTGAAATAAGAAAACAAATACCATATAATTTCACTTGTATGTGAAATGAGACTCATATGTACAGGAAACAAACTGTTGGTTACCAGAAGCAGCAGTGGCGAGATTGGAAGACAGGTGAAATAGGTAAAGGGGGTTAAGAGGTATAAACTACTAGTAACAAAATAAGATACATGCATATATTGTACAGCATAGGGAATATAGCCAATAATATTGTAGTAACTTTGATGACAAATCATAACTTATGACAGGTCATAGACTTACTGTGGGGATTATTTCATAATGTATAAAAATAATGAATCACTATGATGCACACCTGAAACTAATATTTATTGTATGTATTTATAAAAAATATATATGCAGTATTTACTATAGATGGGGTGAAAGAGCCTACACCACAACTTTTTGTGTCCATAAATAATTTACTTTTGTAATTCTATGAATATCAAGAAAGAAAAAAATAGTTTTTTGGAAGACATCAAAAGACTGAAGCAAGACAAACAAGCTCTTGAAGTAGACTTGGAAAAAATGAAGAAAGAGAGAGACCAAGCTAAAGATCAGATTGCTTATGCCACAGGTAAAACACTGAGCTGAAACAGTTTACCTTTATACTTGTAACTGTTCTAATCTTGAATTTAAGGTATAGCAGTTGCTATTACTACCCAAGGAATCAAAATACTATTCCTTGAAGTATATTGTAATTTTAGAAACTTTTTAAAAAATTAGTTATTAATAGGCAGGTTAGTTGGTTTTGGCAGGACTAATTGCAGGATCAGAAAATTCAAGGGTTATTTTGAATTTGTGGCATTTTATGTCTATTCATTTTCATGTCTGTCACCCTAACTAGACTGTGACTTTCATGAGGGTTTGGTCTGCCTTTTAATCCCTGGGTCTGAAACAAAGACTCTCAAGTATTTGCCAAATGAACAAATAACACTGCACTATTTTTATAGAAAACACAGGGATAAATGTTGCATTCTCCACCAGGGAAAAAAAGGAAACTAAGAATGCAGAAAAGTTTAACGTTAAACAAATTACAAATAAACATGAGACATGGTGCTAAGTAGGGGTTTCAGGGAAGAGTAGCATTTGAGCTGGGTCCTGATGAATTGAAAGACTCAGAAGTTAAGGAATGAGGGAGGTTGCTAGAGTGTGCTTCATGAGCATGTTATTGAGTGCACCTAGGGATCGGAGCTGAGCAGAACATAGGACTAGAAAAGTAGATCAGAGGAGTCCTTGTAAGGTCTCTCCACTGTGATATCATGATCTTCAGTGTGAGATATATACAATAAAAAACCTTACCTATTTGTAAGAAAATTATATTTAGTCTCCTCATGTGTAAAATAGAATAATAGTAATAATATCCATCATGCTTGTTGTGTTAAATGAAATCCTACATGGTAACCACCCTCTAATGTCTCCCATTGTAATTTATTAATACAATTATAGGAATTCTTCATGTTAATTATCTCTTGGATCCAACACTCATTGTCCCATGAAAATGACTGCTTTTATAATGAAAGCCAGTGGGAAAACAATTGATTTATCAAAAAAATTATACACAGCAAACTTTGCTATGAATTTGAGGAGTTGGACTATGAACACAATCTTCATCTTTCTTTATTAATAAACTGGATACTGCCTTGCAAAGACCTTTTTTTTCCTATTGTTTTTTCATAATGCTTTCATTAGATTGGCATTGGTTTTCATGTAATTTAGTTTATTACCATATTTTGGAAAGTTATGATCAAATTCAGGAGTTCATCATATAGGAGTTTCATCCTATAGGTGAAAAATTATATGAAATAAAAATCTTAGAAGAAACACATAAACAAGAAATCAATCGCCTGCAAAAAAGATTACAATGGTATGCTGAAAATCAGGAACTTCTGGATAAAGATGCAGTTCGGCTTAAAGAAGCAAATGAAGAAATTGAGAAGCTCAAACAGGAGGTAATTAGTTCTTCTTAGCCTTGTAAGTGTGATTAAATCAATGCTATAAACTCTACTATAATTAAAATAGCTGGTTTGGGTTTTGGCTTGCTCATAGACGTGTAGTCTGTTTTAGAATAGACTGAGAATAAATCCAAGCACCTTATCACAACCTGTCAGGTCCCTGTGTGGTCTGAACCCGGCCTGCCTCTCCAGCCTCATCCGTGTCACACTCCGCAAGTCACTGTCCTGCAGCCACATCAAACCTCCCTCTGATTCTTTTTTAAAAAATTTTTAAAATATTTATTCATTTTTGAGACAGAGCATGAACAGGGGAGGGGCAGAGAGAGAGGGAGACACAGAATCTGAAACAGGCTCCAGGCTCTGAGCTGACAGCACAGAGCCCTACGTGGGGCTCGAACTCACAGACCACAAGACTATGACCTGAGCCAAAGTCGGATGCTTAACCTACTGAGCCACTCAGGTGCCCCTCCCTGTGATTCTTGTACATGCCAAGCTCATTCCGCGGGTTGCCTTCATCTAGATTACTCTGGCCTAAGTTCTTCCAAGTCTCACCCCTCATTCAAGTCTCAGCTCCAGTTTCTACTCCTTAGAAAGACCTTTTCTGATCTTATAATCTAATGGAGCTACCAATCCTGCCCCATTCTGACCCTTTCTTTCCATTCTTTCACTCTGTTTTCTTTTTTTTATATTTATTTTGAGAGAGAGAGAAAGAACATGCACGTGCAGGCATGTGCGCAAATGGGAAGAGCAGAGGAGAGAGAGAATCCCAAGCAGGCTCCACAATGCCAACACAGAGCCCATTGAAGGGCTCAGTCTCATGAACTATGAGATTAAGACCTGAGCTGAAATCAAGAGTTGGATGCTTAATAACTCTCTGAAGTTATTTATTTGTGGATTTACTTTATTAGCTTATCATGTGTCTCCTCCATTGGAGTACAGGCCCTGTGAAAGAGGGGACCTTATCTTGTTTGCCCTCCATGTCTCCAGTGCAGCACCCTATCTGGGAATTAATAAATGAATGAATGACCTACCATTATGCTTTTCTCCTGGTGTTTCTCTGATGTCTTTTAAATATGCTTCTTAACATGGTCTTTACTTATTGATAGGTTGAGAAACTGAAAGCTGAATCTGGAAACCCATCTATTCAGCAGAAGATACGTTTAAAAGAGAAAGCAGCTGATGCCAAAAAAATTCAGGATCTAGAGCGACAAGTATGTGTTCAGGGTAAATTTTCATAAGGTATTTTTTATACAGAGCATTTTCAGATTTTGCTATTTCAGTAGTTCTTGCGACATTCTTATTTTATTCATGTATTTTAATATAGTACTGCCCTTTAAATATACTTGGTATATAATATTTAAAGTGATAGTCATAAAACTAGTAAACGACATCATTTTGTACAGTCTGTGGCTTTATGCATAAAGAATTTTTAGGTTCTCATGCCTCATTTGATGGTAGACCTATGGATGAAAGGTTATTTTGCATTCCAGCTCTATTAGACATCTAGAAGGAAGGAAGCAGAATTTTAAAACTCTGAGTATAGAAGTAGGATTCCTTCTCCTGATAAAAGTTTGGTGAGACAGGAGTACAGGAAAGGAGATCTTCAAATTGGGAACATGTTAGAAGTGCTTGAGAAGTGTTGCAAAACACTCTGGAAATAGATAGAACATCTAGCTTCCCCAAAAACTGGCCTTCATTTTGAGTTCTTGCTCACCGTTAGGCTTAGAAATATTCATTTTATGGTCAGTGTAGCTGGGAGACCCTTTCAAAATTTATGTAGTGACACTTACTAGGATAAAGATTTTATTCATTAAAGTAGTCGTTTGTGAGGTGGAATATTAACTCTTTACTTCTGTTTTTAAAACTGTAGTTTAGCATTTTAACTTTTTGCTTCTGTTTTTAAAACTCTGTAATTTAGCATGTGTATTCATAACTCAAAGCAAAATAAGGATTTTTAGCCCTGTGCATAAGGGAGCATGATTCTATAGTCAAGGCATGAAACTTAAACGTAAGACTATTATTCCATCACAAACCCAAAACTGTGAGGTCATCACTGGGCTCAATACTATCCCAGTTTTCTGAGAGAAGGAAAACTAAACAAAAATTAGCTTTGTTACTTTTACAGGACCTGTTCTTATAGTAAAAGGTATGGTTGGTAATTTGGCTCAGCAGCCAGGAGAGGAATAGGACAGAGGTATTTTAAAGAGCTAGAAATATTCTGAAATAACTGTAGTACAGGATTGCTTGCCTGTTTTTCAGTGCTTATGATTTAGGTTAGCTAATGTAGATGAAGCCTTCCAGAATTGTGAAAGAGAAAAGACCAAGTACTTCTCTATTTGATGACTTTATGAGAAATATTTTAGAAAGTTATTTACTTGTTGATTTACTTTATTAGGTTACCTCCTCCTTGGAGTACAAGTGCTGTTAAAGTGGGCATCTGGCTTATCTTGTTTGGCTTCCATATCTCCAGTGCAGCACCCTATGTGGGAATTAGTAAATGAATGCAGAACTAAATGTATCAGAGTGAAAAAAAAATGAAGCACGCCTAAAAACAAAATTAAGACTTGAAATGGTGAATCATATTGGCTAGAAATATAGCGCTTTATGCAAATTATCTTTCTTTTTTATTAATGCTTTTGTTAAGGGGTGCCTGGGTGTGTCAGTTAAGTAGCGACTTCTGCTCAGGTCATGATGTTGCGGTTCATGAGTTCGAGCCCCGTGTAGGGTTCTATGCTGATAGCTCAGAGCCTGGAGCCTGCTTCAGATCCTGTGTCTCCCTTTCTTTCTGCTCATCCTCTGCTTGTTCTCTCTCTCTCTCTCTCTCAAAAATAAATAAATAAATAAATAAATAAATAAATAAATAAATAAAAAATGCTTTCTTTAAAAAATGTATTGGCTTACCATTTAGACTATATCTTTCTAAAATGTCATTTATTAATAGTATTTTGTTTAGTTTCCTGTGTGTACATTTCAGATCTTACTCTGTTCCCATGAACATTTCCATCCTAATGATTTTAAACCTTACTATATATTTTTTGTAATGTTTATTTTTGACAGAAGGAGAGAGAGACAGAATGGAGGAGGGGCAAGAAAGAAGAAGAGAGAGAGATCCCAAGCAGGCTCCATGCTGTCAGCGCAGAGCCTGACATGGGGTTCAGACTCACAGACTGTGAGATCATGACCTGAGCTAAAGTCAGAGCCTCCTAAGTGCCCCCAAACCTTAATATATATTTTAAAGTAAAGGTATATCACAGTATATTCAGAATCATTTTCGAGCTATATTCTGAAATAGATTATTTATAGAATAAAATATCTCATTTTCTAATTGTACATAATTAAAAATGGGGCTAATTAATTAAATGCATGCTATCATGAAATTTTCAAATTATGTGCATTTTTAAATTCATACTTTATTTAATGGGTAGTCTATAGTTTAATTCCCAATGAGAATTTTTAAAAAAGCATTTCCTTTTTTGTATGACAGCCACACTGGTATCAGTGATCAGCATTTACTCGTATCAATGACCAAAAAAAAATACTAAAAAGCAAAATTAGAGAAAATACAAAATAAAACCTAATTCCCCCCTAAAATGTAATAAACACTGCAAGATATCAAAATTAGATTGAAGTATTTCTTAAAATCTTACGTGAATGCATTAATTATAAATATGTTAAAACATTCTTTTTTTTTCTTTTTTTCTTTTATATCCAGGTTAGTTAGCATATAGTGCAATGATTTCATTGTAGAATCTAGTGATTCATCCCCTACACATAACACCAAGTGCTTATCCCAGCAGGGGACTTTATTAATGCCTTTTGCCCGTTTAGCCCATCTCCCCACTCACAACCTTTCAGCAACCTTCAGTTTGTTCTCTATATTTAAGAGTCTCTTAAAGCATTTTTTAAAAATCTATCTCTTCTCTTTTCAGTATACATGGTGTGTATGTGTATGTATGTACCTTTATATGCTTAAATATACTTCAGACAGCTAGATTTTTAATACCAGAGAAAGCAAAACTTTGAAAATGTTGCAGTTGAAGTTATCAGTATTTATATCTGGATATATTTCAATTTATGGTGCATATATGAAAGCGCAAGCAGTTCATGAATGGAAATATTTACTATAGATTGAACATTGTTCAATATAATAAACAGGATTTTAAGTACCAGCAATGCATCTTGCCTTAGGAAGGGTAGTTTTTGAGACCAGATCATAATAAAAGCCAACATTATCAAGCCCTCACTGTATACTGGGCATTCTGCTAAGCACTTTACCAAGATAAATGTCATTTGACTCTCACTTAAGTGTGTCAACGCCATGAAATTGGTATTGTCATTCCCATTTTACCAGTAAGGAAAAGGAGATGTAGATTGAGGAGTTGACACAGGTCATAAAGCAGTGGCACAATCTGAACTCCAGACATGCTCTAACCATTGCACTAGACTGCCTCTCAGCTATTTTATTTTATTGTATGTATACTCAGAGGTAGAAAACTGTTCAGTAAAGAATTTAGTATTTTAATATATGTTTCTCAAATACATCTAAACTGTAATTTAACAAAAACAGGTATAAACACACATACATATATAATATCAAGCTCTAATTCCTGTGGACCCTGGTACAGTTCTTTCTTACAAAAAGATCGTAAAATATGTTACTGCTTAATCGACTAAATGAAAAGTAGCCTTTTGTGAAGACTTCATTATATATTATCTAACCCTCCTTGCTTTCTAATTGAAAGAAATAACTGTAATTTTAAAAATAGATTAAACTTCATTTGGAGGGGGGTGTTTGTAGGAGGGTTGGGATAGGGTGGAGATTGTTGCAGATGGGGGCAGGTGCTTAGGAAGCTGTGTGTTTATTGTACAAATTCTGTACATTCATATGCATATGTTATTTTTCAGTCAATAGATAGTATAAATACAATCATCTAAGGAGGTCTGTGGGAAAAAGCTTTGTTTTTAGGAAGATTGGTTATTACTAGTGCAATAGAAAGTCTCAAGATCTATTCAGATAAATGTAAGAGGATTTCTGTAAATTAACCAGTAACCAGTACTAAATTAGACATTATACTATAGGGTTTTAAAATCAGATAATCTAAGGATGTAAAATTTGGAATTAATCTGTGTTTCTGTGCATATGATTCAGTCTTGAGATATAACCATCTCTTTGAAATCTAGACATGACTGATAGAGCATAATCTAAGCTGGTACATCAAACTGCTTAATTTTAATATATTTGTGACCTTACATATATGCAAAAATATTTTAATAGGTTAAGGAGATGGAAGGAATTCTAAAGAGAAGATATCCCAATTCTTTACCTGCTTTAATACTGGCTGCATCAGCATCTGGTGATACAGTGGATAGAAATACAGTGGATTTTATGGAAAAAAGGATAAAAAAACTAGAGGCTGATTTGGAAGGCAAAGATGAAGAAGCAAAGAAAAGCCTTCGTACCATGGAACAACAGTTTCAAAAAATGAAGGTAGGTGCCATCTAGCCATGGACATGGAGCTCAGACCTCAAAGTTTCAATATTGTGGAGGGCTGGGGGCTTCTTAGGTCTCATTTTAACAAATAATTTTAAACATCCTTCCCTGTAAAACCTTTAACATGAGTGTCAGTAGATGCAAAAGAAACCTAGACCCATCATATCTTTTTTGTTCACCTTCATCTACTTTTCTTTTTATGTCAAGCATGGAAAATCAAGCACCGCGTTCCTCTCAGTGATTCTAGAATGAGTGGTAATTAAGTCATGAAAAGGCAAAGTAAAACATCTCTGATGTATATTCAGTATAAACTTGTTTTTTAATTATCATGTTTGAAAATACTTTTTTGAGGGGTACCTGAGTGGGTCAGTTGCTTAAGCAGCCCTCTCTTAATTTCAGCTCAAGTCATGATCTCAAGGTTCATGAGATTAGCCCCATGTCAGGTTCCTGCTTGGGATTCTCTCTCCCTCTCTCTCTGCCCCTCTTGCCCCCACTTGTGCGCGCTCTCTCTCTCTCGCTCTCTCTCAAAGTAAACAAACATTTAAAAAAAGAAAAGAAACTACTTTTTTGAAATTCCTTGATGAGGGGGAGGAAATGAGACAGAAGAATATCTCTGAAGTAGAGCAAGGGACAGGGCAGTGTCTATTGAAAATGTCTTACTTTCTGAGTTTTCTGATCCTTCATGAGGAATGCATCTGAAAATACAAGTGCTAGGATGACCAAGTATGAAAGAAGACTTGACACTTAATTTACTTTTAAAAATTTGTGTAGCACACAGTTTCTGCATTAATTCTTGCTAGATGCTTTCACAGCCATTTTAGTTTATCTTGCATTGTCCTTCCAGTTACCAGTGAGAAATAGATATTGCTACCCTACTTCACAGACCAAGTAACGGATGTTCACTATTTAACTTCTTGCCCGAGGTGCTACTGCTGGTGAGTGACAGAGCAAGGCCTCAAAACCTAGGCCACATGTCTTCTAGGAAGCAGGTCTATTCCCCACAGATTTCTATCTTGAGAGAAGCAACAGATGATAGAATATTAGATTCCAGAAACAGTAAAAGGTTGAAAACCTGGAAGTATATGGGCCTGCTAGTTGACTTAAAGTCATGTCAAGAAAGTTGGATTTACTTTATTTCACTCTTTTTTTTTTTTTTTCAAATTTCTCAGCCCCCTACCTTGTTCTCTTTCTTTTCACTGTCCTAAGTTCCAAGGTGTACTTCTCTTTTAACTACCCCGTTTTCAACCATGCTTACCTCCCTTGCCTTTTGCTCCAGCCCACCCATCTCTTTCTCTGCTCTTCCTCTCACACAGATCTGTGTTTCTAAGGAGACGGCATAGTCGTGAGAGTAGAGCTGTCACAGGTGCGTAGGTATCTGGTCCCGGAAATTTCCTCAGTGCTACTTGGCAAGCCTATTGCTGTGGCTAATCAGTTTCTTCCATTCCCCTACTTTCACCACAGACCTCCTTCCATCAGTTTCATGTGACCCCCACACCACCTTTAGCAGACTATCTCCTATCCATAGCAGACTGTGGCGTGATGGAAAACACAGGCTTTATAGGGTCAGACCAACCTCCAGACTGGGCCCAGTTTTACCATGATAGCTTCATGACTTTGCTCTAGGTACTTCATCCTCTGAGCCTCTGTTTTTCCTCATATGTAGAAGAGATAATAACGGAGTTATTGCAAGTATGTCACTTTTTCTTCTAAATTTCTTTCAATTCCTCTGTTCCTTTTCATCACCATGCCACACTACTGCCATCATTAATAAACAATGGCCTGGATAACTGTTGTAATCTCTTGACTAGTCTACACAAACCCATATCACTCCATTCTCTCATCAGCTGTTGACGCTAAAGCCAAAATTATATTTTCATATCTCTCTCTTATATACACATCTTTATTTATATCCCTCAGTAACTTCCTGTTCCTCTTAGGTTAAATAAATGGCCTATACATCCATGTATGGCCACACCCCGCTTGCTGTCCAGGATGTTCTCATACCATGCTTTCTCATCCAATCATATATGTTTCTCCTACTTGCCATGTTTCCTGCGGCCACAGAAGTTTGTACGCTCTTGCCTCTGACTGGTATGCTTAGCCCACCTCTTTCATAGTTGAGATGTTCCTGCCCTTTAGCTCTTAAGCCAAGCATTGCTACCCCAGTGAAACCTTTGTGGACTCCCTGGTGGACAAATTATCTTATAGACAGGCACTTTAGTCCATGCACTTCTCCATTCCATCTACCATGTTTATAGCTGTTTTGATTGGATCATGAGTGATGTCTTTCTCTGTTTAGCTTCTGGACTTCATGATGGCTGGGACTCTTCTGCTTTTACTCACCATTGTGTTCCATCATTCAGCAAGACACAGAGTGGATGCTAAAATATTTTAATTAATCCTTAATTCATGGGATATTGGGAAGATTGAGTGGCAAAATATATGTGAAGCCCTACTGCCTTGTATGGAGTATAGTAAACATTCAATAAATGATTTTAATAATCACAACTACTATTAATATTCCAGTGACCAAATAGAGGCATGAATTCCAACCCTCTCCCCCATTTTTATATATCTAAATCTATTCATGCTGACTTTTCTCTTTTTGTGCTTCCTTAGCCCATCTCACTCTGTTTCTGCTCACTCTCTCTCACTTCTTCCTTTCATTCTGGTTCCCTGTGCATACCAAGCATTAGATTGCCTTTGAACATGTTTTTCCTACTTCCGTAATGTCTCTGGTTCCACTTGTCCCCAAATTTGCATTCCTCCTTCAAACACAAACCTAAATATGCTCTCTCTGTGCACTCTTTCCCCTTCTCTCAGGCCTCCAGACACACTGGGGAGCCTCATCCTCATTGCACCATATCCATAGGCTCACTATCACAGTTATCGCAGGACATTGAAACTTGCCATTGCTCTCCTTACCAGACTGTAAACTGTTTGAAGGCACGAGCTGGACTTCTTTATCTCTGGAATCTGGCACAGCACTTGGCATGCAGTGGTAGCTCAAAAAAATATTCATTGAATGAATGAACTCTGTTGTGCCCCCTCTGCAGAGTAACCTGCTTAGGGTATTTTGTTTATAATAATAAAGCTCCAGGGTAACAAATCCAAGCTGACTTACTCCCTATGAGACTCCTAAATTGATACTAGAAAGTTGAAAACGTACTATCTCTTAAAGATTTCAGTGCCCCCAATTACTTTCCTTATTTATCCTCAGAGTACACTTTATCAATTTGCATAGAGAAAGGTACACAATAATGGGTTTGATACTGTACATTGGGGGTATACAGAAATGTGTTATATCATGTTTATGAAGCAGCATATTAATTATGAAATTATACAACATATTGAGAACATATCACATTATACTCTTTAAAGATTAGGCCCTCAGTCCATTTTTTTTTTTTAATGTTTTATTTATTTCTAGGAGAGAGAGAGACAGCGCGAGCAGGAAAGGGTCAGAGAGAGAGGGAGTCACAGACTGAAACAGGCTCCAGGCTCCGAGCTGGCAGTCAGCACAGAGCCCGACGCGGGGCTCGAACCCACCAACCGCGAGATCATGACCTAAGCGAAAGTCGGACGCTTAACCGACTAAGCCACCCAGGCGCCCCAGGCCCTCAGTCCATTTGACTGACTCGGGGAACAGAGTTAGAAGCATCAGAACAGAGCTGAATGCCTGAATGAAGGAGTAGGTAGGACCCAGTAGAATGCTGGGCTTTGGGAACGAATGACATGGTTAACAGTGGTTTGACATGACATGGATTCTTTTCTTCAGATCCAGTATGAACAGAGACTAGAGGAGCAGGAGCAGCTGCTGGCCTGCAGATTGAAGGAAGCACCCCAGAGCCACCCTGACAGCTCCTCCAGGGTCGAAGCACTAGAGAAGGAGCTCGACGACATCAAGGAAGCCCACCAAATCACTGTGAGAAAACTTGAAGCTCAAATAGACATTCTTAAATACCAAAATGCTGAATTGCAACTCAAGAAAAGTGATCAAGATGATAATGATTTCCAGTCTATAGAATTCCAGGTAGAACAGGCTCATGCTAAAGCTAAACTGGTGAGACTCAATGAGGAGCTGGCTGCGAAGGGAAGAGAAATACAAGACCTTTCGAAAACTGTGGAGAGGCTTCAGAAGGAGAGAAGGGTGATGCTGTCTAATCAGAACTCTAAAGGTAGAGAGGAGGTGACTGCAAAAAGGGGGAAGAAAGATGCTTTGCACTCAGGTAAAGGAAGTGCTCACTCATTCCCTGGAACCCTAGATGGCAAGCTTTACCAACCACATACTTTTACTGATTCCCGTGTTTCAGACGTTTTACAAGAAAACTGCACATTGAAAAACGAACTAGAGAGATTAATTGCAGAGAGGAATGAGCTAAAGATGAAATCTGAAGCAGCGGTGGCCCAATTTGAAAATTCCATGAAAAGGTAAAATGTAAATATGTAAATATATGGGGATATAAAAATATAAAAGCATCAAAATTATAAGATGTATTTCCTCTAGATGATCAATTTTACCCTGAAGTGAATTCATCACCGAATTTTAAGAAGTTGTGTTACATTGCTTAGCAAAGATCTCTTTTAGAGTAGGATCCTCTACCTGTTGGAAGCCAGATCCTGATAAGCCTGAGTCTCTGTGAGCCCACATCATGTGCTTGGGCTGACTGATGTTGTCTTTCCACATTTTTCCAGATGGGGTTAATAAGCTGACCCACTGAGCCTTCTTATAAATGAAGGTCATCATTTATGACCACCATAGGCAGAGTGCAGCAAACTGCTATTGTTAAAAATAGTTGACATTCTAATAGGAAAGGTCTGCTTTTCCAAAATAACTCTTCAGATTAATCTCTACATGCCTTGAAGAACCTTTGTGCTTATCCCTTTCCTTCTTAGAGTCACCAGGTACTGTCTACTCTCTTTCCTCTGAGCCTTCTAACATGCACACATACTTTTCTTCGTCATCAAACCAAATGTCTATTCCTCTTTCTGTCTATTGGGACCAGTTTTCCGCAAGTAGAGTCTTTTTTTTATTTAATGTTTTATTTATGTGAGAGAGATAGAGAGAGAGCACGAGTGGGGGAGGAACTGAGAGAGAGGAAGACACAGAATCTGAAGCAGGCTCCAGGCTCTGAGCTGTCAGCACAGAGCCCCATGTGAGGCTCGAACTCACAAACAGTGAGATCATGACCTGAGCTGAAGTCAGACGCTTAACCGACTGATCCACCTAGGTACCCACAAATAGAGTCTTATATGCACCTCACTTCCTCTTCACTGGGATGCTTATCCTTACTGCTCTTTTAAATCTGATCTCTCAGTAGGTCCTTTGCTAGTCCAGTGGTGTTTTCTCCATTTTCATTTTCCTTGACTTTGTTCTTTCTTGAAATGGTTTCCTCCCATAACCTCCATGACTCACACTAGGGAGTGTGACTAGTCTCCTCTTCCATTCCTTTAACTGACTCCTGACTCCTCTTCATTCTCCTTCCACGAAAACAAGACTGCTACCAGGGTTTATTTTCAGCTTTCTGTTTATTCTCTGTTCTTTCTTCATTGCTAAATTCATCTATAATTATGGCTTCTATGAACCATGACTCTGACTTACTTTTCAAGGCTGTTTTCTTCCCTGAGCTCAGATGTTAAATCTACTATTTTTTGGATTGTTCCTCTCAAATTTTATTCCTTTTGTTAATCTATAAACTGGTCCCCCTCATAGCTTCCTCTTCTCCATCTAGCACCATATTTTTTCAATTCTCAAGTCCAGCTTTTACCACCTTTATTTTTTGGCTCACAGTTTATGGGGTGGTTCCTTATAAACAGGTCTCCTTTCACTTTCTACCTTACTGTAGGGCAGCCTTACCTGCTTTACTACATCTTCCCACCCTGATATCCCTGATTTTAGTTTTCGTCTCCCCTGTTTTGCTTAAAAACCATTAATATTCTCAATATCCCTGTATTTGAGCTACTCTGCCCTCCACTGACTCCCTGATTCCTGAAGTATCACGACTCATTCCATGTGGCTTTTCAAGTGCCATCACCATTACAAGACTTCTCTGTGGACCTGACCTGCTAAAGGTCTTTACTGTCTTTGACTCATTCATGTTTCAAGTGCTATGACTTCCACAAAATATCTCCTAGAGCCTCCCAGGAAATGTTCTGCTCTCATTTCCAACTCCTCCTTAACTTATGTACCAAGAGCCAGTATTAAGTATCAACAGAACACTAATCATACAGTGCCTTGTAACTCCTTGAGAACTGTTGTAAGGTTATACTTCCTTTGCAGCCTGGTATAGGAGAAGAGTGAGCATAGCAAGCACCAGACACATGCCTATTGAATGATCGATCATAGCCATATCTGAATGAATCATCATGGCAACTGTAATGCTTCAGAATGGAAACCTTGTCTCTTTAGTCCTCAGTATGATAATAGAATTGAAGCTATTTGGAAAGAATTGCATTCTTTCCTAGAAATTATTTAAAATTGAAATTTATCCTATAAATTTTCCTATATATAATTTATAGTTTTTTAGTATTGCTAATCTGTTTTTCACACAGCTCTGGGCCTGAGAAGTAAAGAATAAACTTTCCTAATCCCAGATTTAGGCCAGTGGGTTGTTTTGGGGTTTTTTGTTGTTGTTGTTGTTACTTTAGTTCTTTCATTCTTTTACTTAGTTTTACTTCAGTTACTTTATGCTATGTCATAAGTGCTTTAGATTTTTATGCTTTTTCATACTATTGAGAAATGAAGAAATATTCATATAGTCAACTAAGCAATTGATAAACTTGTTTATAGCAACAGTGATTCAGTAAATATCTGCTTTGAATAAAATCCTATCATTTTTTAAGAACTTCCAATAAGAGAGAAAATATTTATCTGTACGAAATGTATCATCTTTATCAGAACTTTACCATTTATTAAACATACCATTAATTGTACCATTTAGTAACAAAACTATCTTTAATGCATAAATATTGTCACAGAGACAAATCAGTAGTCTCTCACATTTAATGATCCAAATTTTCAGGGTCCTAAAGAATTACTGTAAAGATTATTTTATTTATGTGACATGGCAGCTAGCCCTGGAGTTATTGTGCATGGACCAAATGCTGGTGAAAGTTGCCTAGAGACAAAGAAATTGGAAATTCTAAAAGGAACTGTGACTACCCAAATGGGAATCTGGGCAAAAAAATCTGAGTTTATCTTAAAAGATAAAATGTTTGCAGTGCCTGGTGGCTCAGTCAGTTAAGCAGCCATCTTCAGCTCAGGTCATGATCTCCTAGTTTGTGGGCTCGAGCCCCGCATACAGAAGCCTGGAGCCTGCTTTGGATTCTGTGTCTCCCACTTTCTCTGCCCCTTTCCTGCTTGCACTCTGTGTTTCTCTCAAAAGTAAATAAATGAACAAAAAAAGATAAAATGTTGGGCCCTTGCTTTAAATCCAGACAGAAGATTTAGAACCTTCAATTCTGCCAGAAAGTACAGCCCCAGGCTACGGGTCCAGTGGAGGGCCCAGATATTGAGGTCCAACTTTCTGCTGGGCTTGAACCCCAGCTCTGCAACTTTCTAATCTGAACTCTAGAGACGTCACTCTTTCCAAAATTCAAATTTGTCCTTATAAATAAATAATAAATTTATTATTCAGTAAATAATAGTGAGCTCATGGTGTGGTTGTAGGAACTCACAAGAAATACTGTATAAAGCACTTGACAAAGTGCAGTAAGTAATGGTGCACTCTCCCTATGCCTCTTTAATTTCTAAGCTTCCTACACTATTTTTATTCTAACTCTGAATTGAAGAGCTCTTTTTATGTATGATTTTGTTTGATTGCTCTGCAGGGTCAAGGAAGATACTGCAACACACATTGCATCTCTCAAAGCATCTCATCAGAGAGAAGTAGAGAAACTCCTTTGCCAAAATGCAGTAGAAAATTCTTCTTCCAAAGTAGCTGAACTAAATCGTAAAATAGCAACCCAAGAGGTAGACAACTTTAATGAACTCTCCTTGGCTTAAAATTTATTTTTTTCAGGACTCTTAACAGAACATTATTTAATTTAGAAATATTTAACTTCACTTTTTAGAAATAAATTATTGATTTTTTAATAGAAGATGCCATTATCATTTAACTATTCTACTTTAAAATTATTCTAAATAAGTGGTTTCACAGTTTTGTCCCTATATTTCTAAATAGTTCTTCTCCTAAGTCATTTGTAACAAATGGTAGAAGTATGATCAGTCACATTTTGTGATTGAGACCTGAGTACTTGAATGTTGAATCGTCTCCCTCTACCCAAATCCCAGCTGACAAGTAATTAGCCTAGTCATTCTCTTGCCCATTTATCTTTCATTCATTAAACCAATAATGACTCAGGGTCTACAGGCAGTCAGGTACTAGGGATAAAATAATGAACAGAGAGCTGCACATAGCTGTAGCTGTTATGAAACAGTCTTCTTAGAAGTATGACAGAGTATGCTGAAAGCTCATCCACTTTTTTAAAAAAGTGTATCGTCCTTTTTGGTTAGTATGTATATCTGCAAGGAATATCTATGATTATCTACTGTGGTGTTAGCAAGTTGAACAAACAGCACTGAAACAGAATTTGTACCTGCAACTTACTTTCAAATGGTGTATCCCAGGAAAAGAAAGAAAATGTTTTAATATTTCAATGAGAAAAATTTAAAGTATTTAAAAAAATTTTTTTAACGTTTATTTTTGAGAGAGAGAGAGAGAGAGAGTGTGAGCAGGGGAAGGGTAGAGAGAGGAAGAGACAGAATCTGAAGCAGGCTCTAGGCTCTGAGCTGTCAGCACAGAGCCCAACACGAGGCTTGAACCCATGAACAGCGACATCATGACCTGAGCCGAGGTCAGATGCTTAACCGACTGAGCCACCCAGGTGCCCCCTAAAGTGCTTTTCAAAAGTAATCATTGTACAGCAGTTGCAGATAACTTCTCTGGCTTTTTTCCTCCCATAAGAGTAGGGTGTCAGTGGGCAGTATAAACATTATATCAAGTTATTATGTATTATGTAGTTGCTAGAGGTGGGAAAAGTGGTGTCATTATGCCACAGTGCCTACTTTAGTGTTACTTTCCCAGAGTTCTAAATGTAATATTGTAAGTCATGAGTTAAATGGAATTTGGCATAGTCTGATGGTAGAAACAGTAAAAGTAAAGCATTAGAGATAATAAATGCATATTTTTCCTAAGTTCTCAGATCCTTAATGAAAGTATTTCAGTTTGCCAAAAAATAAAAGCATGACGTTTATTTCATGCTTATTAATAGGTTTGTGCTGTCTTTATTTTGTCAGTAGCTCTTTAATAAAAACCATTCTACTTAATTACAAAGTAATAAAGACAGTATTGGCTACTAGCTTCAAAATGCTTAGACTTACAGAGGTTTATTTTAAAAGGTATTTTTCAGGCCTTCAGAAGAAAAGTATTAGAGATAAAGAAGCCAAGTAGTTACATAGCCATTATTTGTCATATGTGTGATGCTTTATATTAAACATTGAAAGAAACAAAATAATGTATTCAGTAAGCTTAATTTATTCAATGAACTTAATTCCTATGGCACTTTATTTTTATGTTAGATTTGGTAATTTAAAAATATTGAGTTTTTTTAGTAAAAAAAGTCATTAGTTGGTTTTCTAATATTTTCCAAATAATGTTTGAGTAAGAGTTCTATTAACTCAGTACTTCTAACATAATTTCCTAGGTACTTATAAAACATTTCCAAAATCAAGTTAATGAACTGCAGAGTAAACAGGAGTCTCTTGTAGTTTCTCAAGTTCGAGAAGAAGTCTTGCAGAAAGAGGTAAGAAATAACAAAAATGTTGGACTAAGAAAAGCTTTTCTTAGCCATTTCAATCATATTCTTATTTTTTGTATTAAATTTTTAACTTAAATGTACAAATGGAAATAACCTGAAAGTATCACATCAAAAAAGACATTAATAACTTGTTTATGGTAAGTCTGCTTTCCCTAGATGAAACTCTTCAAATAGTAAGTAAGTTTCTTATATATTTGTATTTGATGTTGAGATTTTCCTGGGCAGTGAGGAAATAGGGAGAGAGAGTATTTGGTTCTTTTGATTGTTTGAGGAGGTAAAATTGGATGGTTAAGCCATCTCTGCATTTCTGCCATCTGGTCCTGGACTATTCTCTTTTGGGAGATTTTTTATTATGTATACAATCTTCTTAGTAGTAATTGACCTGTTCAGATTTTGGGTTTTTTTTCCCTAATTTAGTCTTGTTATGTTGTATTTGTCCAAGAATTTTTCCATTTCTTCTTTGTTGTCCAGTTTGTTGGCATATAGTTCTTAGTAGCCTTTTGTGATCTTCTGTATTTCCATTTATCTCTTGTAAAAAGTCTCCATTATCATTTATAATTTCATTGATTTGAGTCCTCATTTTTCCTTGGTTAATCTAGCCAAAGATTTGCCAATTTTGTCTATACTTTCAAAGAACCAATCTTAGTTTTGTTCATCTTTTCTATTGTTTTCCCGTTCTTGGTTTTGTTCATTTCTGCTCTAATTTTTATTATTCCCTTCTCTCTTCTACCTGTGGGCTCAGTTTATTATTCTTTTTCTGGTTCCTTAAGGTGTAAACTTAGATTGTTTATTTTAGATCTTCTTGTTTCTTAATGTATGTGTTAATTGCTGTGAACTTCCCTCTTAGAGTTGCTTTTGCTACATCCCATAAATTTTGGTTTGTTGTGTTTCCATTTTTGTTTGTCTCAAGATACATTATTTCCCCTTTGATTTCTTCTTTGACCCATTAGTTGTTAAGTCATTTTTAATTTACATGTATTCATGAGTTTTCCAGTTTTCCTTATCACTACTGATTTTTAATTCCATGCCATTGTGGTCAGAGAATATACTTGGTATGATTTTAGTCTTCTTGAATTTGCTAAGATTTATTTAGTGGCCTAACATATCGTCTGTCCTTGAAAATATTCCATGTGCACTTAAGAAGAATGTTTATTCTGCTGTTACCAGATTCAGTGTTGTGTATGTGTCTGTTACAGCCATTTGATCTATGGTGTTGTTCAAATTTGCTATTATTCACTGCCTAGATGTTTTATGTGTTGTTGAGAGTGGGGTATGAAGTCCCCAACTGTTATTGTCTTGCTGTTTATTTCATCTTCTGGCTATGCTTCTTAGCTCTCTAAAGTTGAATGCATAAATATGCAATTGCTATGTCATCTTTCTTCTTGGATTTATGTTGACCTCTATCATTATTTATGTTAGATATATGACCACATATCATTATGTAATGACCTTTCTTTTGTCTCTTTTTACCATTTTAAAATCTATTTTGTTTGATATAAATATAGCTACCCCTGCTTCCTTTTGAATACCATTTGTTTGGAATTTTTTTCATCTTTTTACTGTCATCTCTGTGTGCCTTTAAGAAGACTAAGGTGAATCTCTTGTAGGTAATATATCATTAGATCTTATTCATCCATTCAGCCACTGTTTGTTGATTGCAGAATTTAATGCATTTACATTTAAAGTAGTTATTGATAGGTAATGACTTATTACCATTTTGTTGATTATTTTCTGGTTGTTCTGTAGGTCCATTTTTCCTTGTTTCATATCCTGTTGTCTTTTTTGTGTTTTCATGTCTTTTGCTGTCAATATGCTTTAACTTCTCATTTTTTGCAAAACTATAGATTTTTCTCTGATGGTTACCATGAGGCTTACATAAAATATCTTCAAATTATAATACCCTATTTTAAACTGATAACTTGAATAAAATTCCTAAACTTTACTTAAAATTTTCTCCTTTCCCTCACATTTTAGGTCATTCATGTTACAGTTTACATGTATTCTATATTGTATTATTTATAGCAGATTATTATAGTTACAGTTATTTGTCTTTTAACTTTTAAACTACAGTTGTATGTGGATTACACACCACTGTTATGGTTATACAATCTAACTTTGGTTATATATTTACCACTACCTTCTTATGTTTGTTTTTACAATGTTAATTACTGTTCTTTTATTTATACTTAAAGAACTCCTATTAGCATTTTTTTGAGGCAGGTCTAGTAGTGAAGAACTCTCTCAGCTTTTATTTGTTCAAGAAAGTCAGTTTCAGCCATTATTGCTTTAAAAATACTCTGTCCTTTTCTCTTGTTGTGGAATTACCATAATACAGATACTACTTGTTTTGGTTGTGTCCCATAAGTCTCATAGCCTTTTTCATTCTTTTTGCTCTTTTGACTGTATAATTTTAAATGACTTGTCTTCTAGATCACTGGCTTTCTTCTGTATAGTCAAGTCTCTTTGAACTCATCTATACAGTCACTGTATTTTTCATCTCTGGGATTTCTGTTTTGGGGTATTTTTTTCATGGTTTTTATTTCTTTGTTGAACTTCTTGTTTTGTTCATGCCTTGTTTTCCTTCTTTAGTTGTATGTTCTTATAGTTCTCTAAACTTTTTAAAGAGGATTATTCTGAATTTTTTGATCATGGAGTTCATAGATCTCTTTCTTTAGGGTCAGTTTGTTGGAGCTTTCTTAGGTTTGTTTTTGGTGGCATCAGATTGTCAGATCCTTGATTCCTTTGGTTGGTGTCGGTGTATTTGAATAAGTAGTCTCCTCTTCCAGACTTTACGGGTTCACTTTGGTAGAAACAGTTTTCAGCAGTCAGTGCAGTTTGGGTTTCTGGATGCGTCTGGTGGTGATGTCCTTGGGCAGGTGGGGCTTGCTGTCAGGGTCAGTTTTTGGCCAAGGCTACTGCCTAAGCTCTGAGGTCGGGAGTGGGGAGGTGCCACTGGTTGAATATAATTGTATAGAAATTTTGGCTTGGTTTCCTGCCTAAGCAAGTCTGTAGGATAGACTCTGTGTTTGCCCTCATTCTCTGATAAAGTCTTTATTAGACTCTTGGGACTGGATATATACTCAGCAGTACATGGGGCCATGAATTAGCTTCTCTGTCCTGGTGGGATAACAGGATAGGCCCCAGGGCCTGCTGAGTTCATTGTCTGGGCACACAAATCAGGCAGGATTGTATACTGAATTCTCTGGCTGTCCAGGCCACTGATTTTGCTCTGTAGATGAGGAGAGCCATGGCAATGCTTTCTGTCCAAGTACCATTGTATGCAAGGCTCTTGGGGGGTATTCTGCAGCTTCCCATGTTCTGTGGTTAGGTTCCTTGATTGAACAGCTGGAAAGCTGTATTCACCAGTGGACAGAGCTTCAAATTAGTTTCCTGGCCCAGGAGCAATGGAAGAAACTGCTCCAGTCCCAGTAAAGCCAGTAAGGCTTTTTGACTGTCGTCTTGACTCAAGCCAACCAGTGCCCCAGGTTCCCTGGCTGAATAGGCCATTGGCTTTGCAGACTGTCAGCTCTGACTGCTGGCCTCTGCTCTGGATTGCTGGGCTACCCAGCTTTTCTGGTGTTCTGGTCACACAACACTGCGATCTTCACTCAGCAGTGAGCCAAAGTGTGGCTTAGCTTCTCTGCCTGAGTGGGTGCAGTCCCTGCTTGAGGACTGGCAGATCTTTCTGTCTGAGGACCTGAGTCAGGCAGACCTACACCTCACCAAGTTCCATGGCCAGACTATACTACCAACTTGGATCTATAGATGAGCAAAGCTGCTGGCTGGGATTACTACTTGGGCACTGCAAGTATGAACTCAGTCTGCCAAGATCTAATCGCCAGTTGTTACAAGCCCTTCCCCACATCTCCATCACAATCAGATTCCTAGTGATTAGTCCCCATGGGATAAGGCCATTGTGGGGGCTCCCAAGAAGTGACCCATAACATTGGGGGAGCTGGATGTCCAACGTAGGCGCTCTCTTCCCATGAAGGAATGGTAGTCTCGGGGGAGACCTCTTCATGTTGTGCTGCCTGGGCCCAAGGGAGGAGCAATGCAGCCAGCAGATAGCCATTCCACTCACCCTTCTAATGTAGTTTGTCTTTGTCTCTATGATTCAGAGGGGTGCTTCAGCCTCACCCTCGTCTTCTATCATTCTCTCAGTTGCATCTAGTCCATGAATAATTATGTTCTTATGAGGGGGAACAGCATCAGGAACTTCCTATGTTACCACCTTGATGACATCACTCTTTCTGTCAGTATATATCTTTATTAATACTTCTTTTATATTACTTTATGATAGTCAAAATAATAGTGATAGTTATCATTTATTAAGTAGTATGTACAATCACTATGATAAGTCCTCTGTGTAGTTTTCACCATAACCCACAAGGGTAGGTACTATTATTTCTATTTTCTAGATGAAGATTGATGCTAAGAAAAATAAAATAAGTTGCCTCTGGTTACTAAACAACGTGTGTCAGCACCAGAACCCAAGACCTCTTATTCCAGGTCACGGGCTCTTACTTACTATTTTACTAATGCCATGTTTCTGGACATCAGGTATTTACCAGTTTTTTTTCCATAGTATTGAAGAAGCAGGAGTAACTTTTGATCATTAATCTTATGTATCCAGTTACTCCCATAAGATAAATTCACTAAAATACAAGGATTTAAAAATATACACGTTCATTTTAATTATACTCTTAAAGGTGCTTTTAAGTAGGCACTGATTAAGGGAAATTTTTCCTACTTTCTGTCTTGATACAAATTTCTAAATTTATAAAATTTATAAACTAATGTTTAATCATTGGTGAATTCATTAATTCATGAATAACTATTAAACACCTATGCTATGGCATGCTTTATGTGCTAGGAATACTGAGAACAAAATAGAAAAATCCCTGGTCTTATGGAGCTTACATTTTATAAAACTTGATAAAATTAACTAAGGCAATATCTGTAAAAAACTTAGCATACCACCTAGCACATGATAGTGTCATGACTCTACTAATTATCCTTTAAGACTTTATTCAGACTCAGCTGCCTCCGGTTAAGAGTTCTGCAACCTAGCTATGCTTCCGGTTACATAGTCCCCACTCCTCACCTTACTGCCACTTGGTCATCTCTCCATAACAACACACCATATTAGAATTCTCATTCACTTGACTGCTGCTTTCACTAGACCAGAACATCCCAGCTGGTGTAGCAGGAATAGGTTCCCTGTGAATCATAAGACTGGAAATGTCTCATTATAAACTGAAAATCACTTTTCAGTAATTAAGTTTACAGAAGTTAAAGTGATATTTGACCATTGTGTATATGACACTGCCTCTTACAGTTTTCTTAGTTCAGCAATCACTGGTTTTGTTTTATAATTTTTAGTAATCATTGTTTTAACATATAAGATTTTATGCCCAGCACTCATCACTACAGCATGTTCTATAGTCTCTCTCCCTAACCTTTCTGCAATTCATCCCAGATGAAGTCTGCAAATCTCTGTGGTCACTGGTGATATCCCATCAATATTCCCACATTTAAATATTTAGATTTAATTAGGTTTGTTTTTTCACATTTGAAACTACTTTAGGAAGAACATAGGGGTTTGGGGAGGGGTTGGATCTTTTTGTAGTGTTACTGATGTTGTTATTATCAGGTGCTGGATGTTTCCATGGGAAACTTGGTTGAATTTGTTAATTTTAGCCAGTTTTACTTGTTAATTGCCTTTTGATACTAACAGGAAATTATCGTAAGTATATGGTATAAAGCAAATGCAGTTGTCTCACCAAGCCCAATATAAAACTATCTCAGAGCCCCTCTATTTTACTGACTGGCACCATGAAAATATCACCATTTTCTCTGTGGACCATGGTATGAAAAAGGAGGTACCACTCTAGACTGTAACCTCCATGACTGGGTCATCTCTGTATCCTCAAGACCTTAGATAACCGCTAGCACAGAAAGAGTTCAGTATATTCTCTCTTTTATAAACATAAATGTATTTGTGGAATGAATTATTTATAAATTATAAAGTGATAAGAGCCATAAGAGGATTACAAATAGAATTATAGGTAGTTGACAGAAGGATTCATATTTACTGAACACCCTGTGTGTTGGATGCTATACTGAGTAGGGTGCTTTAAATGTATGATTGATCATAAAAGTAATCAGCCTTGTTAAATACTTTGTAGCAAAGCTGAATGTACCACAGACAGTACCCACCTTCATTTTGAATGCTGTAATCAGCCTGGCATACATGGGAGGCAATGATCCAATCATCTGGGTTGTGAGGTCACTTCAGAGCTAAAATGAGCCTTTTCTTCTTAGACATAGGGAATTTAAGCCATTAATTATTCTAACAACTCAAGATATCTTTCTTATTAACAAGAAGCCTCTTCCTTAGAGACATTTTATACAAAGAAAATGTGGTGAATGTTCTTAAGACATCCTGGTAAAAATAAATGATTTTTCTTGTTACCAGTTTTTCATTTACTTCATACCTCAATTTTAGATTACAAAACTCCTAGAAGAATTAAGAGAAGCCAGAGAAAACCATACACCAGAGATGAAACATTTCATGGGCTTAGAAAAGAAAATTAAACAGTTGGAAATGAGGCATGAGCAAAGAGAGCAGGAACTTCAGCAGGTAAAGTAGTAAATCATATTTACATGTTTGTATAGCTCTTCAGTTTTAAGTACCTCTAGTTTGCTGGAGTTTTGCCATCGGTAGCAAAAAGTGTTTCATTGCATATTGATCTTATTAAGAATAAATACAGCATTTAAGAGCACATAGGACTTTAAATTTCAAAAACCTGAAGTTTGGTTTTCCTTATCTCTGGAATAATAGAGAACCAACTTATATCATATTGTTAATTATTGATGGCTGCCTAAAGTGTTAGGCATTTTACCTAGGGAATGAGTCTTTGGAAGCCATATTCTGTATTCCAGCCATTTCATATTTGTAAGAAATGTTTGTGAGAAATAGTAATATTAAAATGTAATCATTTAAAATATTATATGCCTAGTACTAGTAATATCACAATTACTACAGCTAATGATAGATAAATAGAAATTAAAAATGGCTGAAGTAAGGGCACAGTGTTTTTAGGCATTAGCCTCTCTGCTGATGTTTAGCTTTTCTTGAACAGTATATTGGTCTGCTTGAACTGCCGCAACAAAATACCGTAAATTGGGTTGCTTAAAAAATAAATTGATTTTTAAAAAAAAAATAATAAAAAATAAATTGATTTTCTCACAGTTCTGGAGGCCAGAAGTCTAAGATTAAATGTCCATCTGATTCATTATGGTGAGCACACTTTACCTGGCTTGCAGAGGGCCTTTCCTCAGTGTTAGACCAGATATACTTAACAGCTATTGGATGTAATGGGCTGTATATAGCAGCAGCATATACACTCTTTTCAAGTGCACATGGACTAATCTTTAGGATAGATCACATTAGACCACAAAATAAGCTTTGGAATATTAAGAACTTTGAAATCAAAGTAAGCATCTTCTTCAACCATGATGGTCTGAAACTACAAATCAATTGCAAAAATAAAAGAAATAGAACACAAATACATGGAGACTAATCAAGATGCTACTAAATAACCAATAGGTCAATGAAGAAATCATAGCAGAAATTTAAAAATACCTTGAGACAAATGAAAATGGAAACACAATATTCCAAAATCTTTTAGACACAGCAAAAGCAGTTCTATGAGGGGAATTTTTTTTTTTACAGCTATACAGGCCTACCTCAACAAAGAAGAAAAATCTCAAACAGTCTAACATTACACATAAAGGAACTAAAACCAACAAAGCTCAAAGGTAGAAAAGGAAGGAAATAACAAAGATCAGGACAGAAATAATGTAATAGAGAGAAAAAAATAGGGAAGATCAATGAACCTAAGAGCTGGTTCTTTGAAAGATAAAACTGATAAGCCTATAGCCAGAACCCTCAAGGAAATGAGAAGACTTCAATAAATAAAAAAATGAAAAAGGGAGAGTTATAACCACCACAGAAATACAAAGGATTATAAAAGACTACAGTGAAAGATTATATGCCAACAAATTGAACAACCTAGAAGAAAAGGATTTTTGTAAATATATAATCTTCCATGATTGAATCAGGAAGAAATAGAAAATCTAAACAAACTAATTACTAGTAACAATTGAATTGGTGGGGCAGAGGTGGCTCAATCAGTTTTATGTCTGACTCTTGGTTTCTGCTCGGGTCATGATCCCAGGATCATGGGAGCAAGCCCCATATGGAGCTCCATGCTGAGCGTGGAACCTGATTAATGTGGACTCTCTCTTTCCTTCAGCTTCTCTCCCCGAGTTGTTCTCTAAAAATAAAAAAAAAAAAAAACAATAAAACAACAAAATTGGTAATCAAAAACTCCCAGCAAAGAAAAATCTAGGACCAGATGGCTTTAAATGTTTGGAAGAATTCACATGTAAAGAAGAATTAACACCAATCCTCCTCAAACTAACCCCCACCCTCCCCCCCAAAAAAAAACACTGAAGAGGAGGGAATGTTTTCAGATTTCTTCTGTAATGCCAATATTACCCTACCAACAACAGAGACACTGCAAAAAAAGAAAATTACAGAAAGAAGAAAATTCCCTGATGAACATAGATGTAAAAATCCTTAACAAAATATTAGTAAACTGAATTCAAAAATACATTAAAAGGATCATTCACCATAATGTGGTGGATTTATTCCAAGGATACAAGGATGGTTGAATGTCTTCAAAACAATACCACATAAACAACATGAAAGATAAAAATCATATGATGATTTCAGTAGATGCAAAAAAGCCTTTGACAAATTTCAGCATACATTCATAATAAAAATGCTCAGTATACTGGGTATAGATGGGACATAAGTAAGGCCACATAGGACGAACCCACAGTGGATATTAAACTCCTCAGTGAAAACCTAAAAAGTTAGCTTTTTCATTATTGTCAGGAACAAGGATGTCCACCCTCACCACTTTTACTCCAAGCTAGTACCACAGGTCATAGCCACAACAACCAGGCAAGAAATAAAAAGCATGCAAATTGATAAGGATGAAGTATCATTGTCACTATTTACAGATAACACTGATAATGTATATAGAAAACCATAAAAATTCCACCAAAAATCTATTAGAATAAATTAATTCAGTAAAGTTGCAGGATACAAAATTAATATACAGACATCTGTTGCATTTCTGTACACTAACAACCAGCAAAAAGAAATTAAGACCATCACTTAATAACTGCATCATAAATAAGAACATACATAAGAATAAGTTTAAGAGTTAAGAGCCCTGTCCTCTGAAAACTGTAATACATAGAGAAAAGAATTTGAAGATGACACATTGAATAGAAAGATACACATGGATTGGAGAAATACTATTCAAATGTTCATACTACCCAAAGAAATCTGCAGATGGCGTGCAATCCCTCTCAAAATAGCAGTAGTAGCACTTTTCATAGAACTAGAATATCCATAAAGTTAATATGTAATCACAAAAGACTCCAAATAGCCAAAGCAGTCTTGAGAAAGAACAAAGCTGGAGGCATCACACTGCCAGTTTTCCAACAGTATTACAAAACTATAACAATGAAAACACTGTGGTACTGGCGTGAAAATAGACACACAGATCAATGGAACAGAATAGAAAACTCAGAAATGAACCCACGCTTATATGTCTATGACAAAGGAGACAAGAATATGCAGTGAAGGTAAGATCATCTCTTTAATAAATGGTGCTGGGAAAACTAGACAGCTGCATCCAAAAGAATGTAAGATGACCACTATCTTATGCCATATATTAAAAAAACAAACAAACCTCAAAATGTATTAAAGACCTGAGTGTGAGACCTGAAACCATAAAACTATTTTAAAAAACAGTAAACTCTTGGAAATTGGTCTTGGCAATGTTTTGGGGGGATAGGTCTCCTCAGACAAGGAGAACAAAAGCAAAAATAAACCATTGGACTTCATCAAACTCCACATGGGGCACCTGAGTGGTTCAGTTGGTTAAGCATCCAACTTTCATTTAGGTCACGATCTCATGGCTTCTGAGTTCGAGCCCCTCATCAGGCTTTCTGTCACCGCAGAGCCCACTTTGGATCCTCTGTCTCCCTCTCTCTTTGCCCCTCCCCCAACTTGTGCTCTGTCAAGAATAGGTATTTTAAAAAGTAATTTAAAAAAAATTAAAAGTGGGGCACTGGGTGGCTCAGTCAGTTAAGCGTACGACTTCGGCTCAGGTCATGATCTCACGGTTTGTGAGTTCAAGCCCCGTGTCGGCCTCTGTGCTGACAGCTAGCTCAGAGCCTGGAGCCTGCTTCAGAGTCTGTATCTCCCTCTGTCTCTCTGATCCTCCCCTGCTCACGCTGTCTCTGTCTCTCTCAGAAATAAACAAACATTAAAAAACTTTTTAATAAAATTAAAAGCTTTTGCACAGGAAGGAAAACAAAATGAAAAGAAAGCCTATTGAATGCGAGAAGGTATTTGCAAATGATATATCCAGTAAAGCGTTGATATCCACAACAAATAAAGCACTCCTAACTCAACACCAAAAAAATCTAATTTAAAAATGAGCAGTAGACCTGAATATTTTTATAAAGACATATAGATGACCAACAAACACATGAAAATATGCTCAACCTCACTAATCAGGAAAATGCAAATGAAAAGTACAATGAGAGATCACCTACTGTCAGGATGGATAGTGTAAAAAATACAAGGGATAATAGGTGTTGCTGAAGATGTGAAGAAAAAGCAACCCTCATGCACTATTGGTGGGAATATATGTTGTTCCCTTCACGATGGAAAACAATATGAAAGTTCCTCAAAAAATTAAAAATAGAAGTACCATACTATTCAGCAATTCACTTCTGGTATTTACCTAAAGGAAATGAAACCACATTCAAAAAAAATATATATACACCTCTATGTTTGTTGCACCATTATTTACAATAGCCATGATATGGAAACAACCTAAGGTCCATCAATAGATGAGTAGGAAAAAGTGTGATATGTATGCACATGTGTTTGTGTGGAATATACATATAGTGGGATATTACTCATCAATAAAGAAGAATGGAATTTTGCCATTTGCTGCAACATGGATGGGATTAGAGGGTATTATTCTAAGTGAAATAAGTCTGAGAAAGACAAATACTGTATGATTTCACTTACACGTGGGATATAAAAACAAAACAGACTCATAAATACAGAGAACAAACTGCTAGTTGCCAGAGGTGAGATTGATGGGGGAATAGGAGAAATAGGTGAAGGAGACTAAGAGACACAAACTTGCAGTTACAAAATAAATAAGTCACAAATATTTAAAGTATAGTGAAGGGGAATATAGGTAATAATACTGTAGTATTATTATATAGTGGCAGATAATAACTATAATTGTAATGAGCATTTTGTAATGTAAATATTAAATACTATGTTGTATATCTGAAACTATATTGTACGTCAACTACAAAGCAAAAAATAAAGTCAGTTAGTCTAAATATACTACTAAGACATCAGATTACAAAGAAGGAGCACATAAAGAAAGGAATAGAAGAACTACAGAATACCCAGAAAATAACAGAATGTAAATATACACTCATCAATAATTCCTTTAAATGAAAATA